TCCTCCGAGTACGCTCCCATGTTCTCCTTGAATTGATCAAGATGAGCATCAAGGATATGGACTTTGAGGGACATCCTACAGCCCATTGTGCCGTAGTGCTTCACTGTCCTGGCCGCAAAAAGCAAAGTTTGTGGGGAATAATAGCCATGTTCTGGACTTTTGAGGCATAAGCAATTAGGAAATAACACTTAGTACCCAGGAACAAAAACAGGTTGTTACACAGTGTAATCATCAGAGTCGCTCATGAGAATATAAACACCAAGATACAATTGGTCTCCACACATCTGTCACTCCGCATCCACAGAGCACGATGTTGCACATCCCGTCAGCTGCACGCACGCCCTTCTCAGAGTGCCACATTGTTTGCAGCATAAGTTCAAGACACGCAAAACCTTGGATCGATTTCGACCCACAATGACTCATCAGCAGTCAGGCCTGCTGATGAGTCACTGAATGGCGAAACCGGTCCAGAGTTGTACTCGTCTTGAATCAATGCCGCTAAGAAGCACTACCAGGACACCCAGCGGCTGATTGGTTGTGTAAAATTTTATTTTATTTTTCTGACGTGAATGGATGGATATGTGAAGGTGACTATTGTCTCATGATTTACTTGTACTAGAAGTGCCGCACATCGGAGCACACAAACAACAAGATCGGGATACGAAAATACAATGACAGAAAAACAAGGGAAACGGATACCGCGATAGTAATACGGGGAATGTCTCCATCGTGGACTATCAGAGCATGGCAACCAAACTCTCGCACACGCAGACAGCCCTTAGATCAGCGCGCCTGGCTACGAATGGTGCGAAACAAGTCCAACACACACACACAGACTGACTAAACAAGTCCAACACACACACATAGACTGACTAAACAAGTACAACACACACACACAGACTGAATAAACAAGTCCAACACACACACAGACTGACTAAACAAGTCCAACACACACACAGAGACTGACTAAACAAGTCCAACACACACACACAGACTGACTAAACAAGTCCAACACACACACACAGACTGACTGAACAAGTTCAACACACACACACAGACTGAATGAACAAGTCCAACACACACACACAGACTGAATAAACAAGTCCAACACACACACACAGACTGAATAAACAAGTCCAACACACACACACAGACTGACTAAACAAGTCCAACACACACACACAGACTGACTAAACAAGTCCAACACACACACAGAGACTGACTAAACAAGTCCAACACACACACACAGACTGACTAAACAAGTCCAACACACACACACAGACTGACTGAACAAGTTCAACACACACACACACACAGACTGAATAAACAAGTCCAACACACACACACAGACTGACTAAACAAGTCCAACACACACACACAGACTGACTAAACAAGTCCAACACACACACACACACAGACTGACTAAACAAGTCCAACACACACACACACAGAGACTGACTAAACAAGTCCAACACACACACAGACTGACTAAACAAGTCCAACACACACACACAGACTGACTAAACAAGTCCAACACACACACACAGACTGACTAAACAAGTCCAACACACACACACAGACTGAATAAACAAGTCCAACACACACACAGACTGAATAAACAAGTCCAACACACACACACAGACTGACTAAACAAGTCCAACACACACACACAGACTGACTAAACAAGTCCAACACACACACACACACAGACTGACTAAACAAGTCCAACACACACACACACACAGAGACTGACTAAACAAGTCCAACACACACACACAGACTGACTAAACAAGTCCAACACACACACACAGACTGACTAAACAAGTCCAACACACACACACAGACTGACTAAACAAGTCCAACACACACACACAGACTGACTAAACACGTCCAACACACACACAGACTGAATAAACAAGTCCAACACACACACACAGACTGACTAAACAAGTCCAACACACACACACAGACTGACTAAACAAGTCCAACACACACACAGACTGACTAAACAAGTCCAACACACACACACAGACTGACTAAACAAGTCCAACACACACAAACTGACTGACTGGGCAATTCGCCACCTTTCAAAAGCACCACCCCACCCCCGCACATCTCCCGCAGCACAGCACGGGGGGTCGATCACCACCAAACTGTGCAGCATCCTGCACAGGAGCGGTGCCAAACAGAGACAAAGATCCCCCGTGTAGCCTAACAGACTGTTGGGGCAAGTGCGGTTAGCGAGTAGAGCATATTAAGGCCGGCACGGCACACGAGGGGGTGGGTGGCCAACACCACGCCCGACCGCCTTTGTCTCCCCAGTGGCGATGTTTACTGCACACTGCGCCAGGTACTCATTTGAGGCTGAGTCAACCTAGGGGAGGCCCAGAATCGGTTCAAATATTCGCCACTGGTTACACACACAAACAGAGACAACGATCCCCCGTGTAGCCTGAACAGACTGTCGGGGCAAGTGCTGTTAGCGAGTAGTCGTAGCACCGACACGCGCCCACAGGCAACGCAGCAGCGTCGAGACGGTGCCAGACTCACCGGAGCTGCCTCGCGAAGAGCCACGGGTCGTCGTGGACACGCAAGGAGATTATCAACTTAAATCCATCAAATCCGGAGCTGTGAGGAAGCTTTCTACAGCCTGACAAAGACAAAGATCCCCCGTGTAGCCTTTACAGGCTGTTGGGGCAAGTGCGGTTAGCGAGTAGCGAGTATGAAGGCCGACACGGCACACGAGGGGGTGGGTAGCCAATACCACGCCCGGCCGCCTTTGTCTCCCCAGTGGCGATGTTTACACACCGCACCAGGTACTCATTTGAGGCTGAGTTGACCTAGGGGAGGGCCAGGACCGATATAGAAAATAATCGTCTCTGGCCGTGAGCCAACATACACCCACACAACGATAACAACAACCCACCTTCACACAACAACAACCCACCAACACCACCACTCCTCACCACCTTCACACCACCACTCCTCACCACCTTCACACCACCACTCCTCACCACCACCACCACTCCTCCACCACCACCACCACTCCTCACCACCACCACCACTCCTCACCACCACCACTCCTCACCACCACCACCACTCCTCACCACCACCACCACTCCTCACCACCACCACCACTCCTCACCACCACCACCACTCCTCACCACCACCACCACTCCGCAACAGCCATCACCACCACCACCAACTCCTGCGGAGCTCATGTGCACGAACCAGCATCGACAACCCCCTCACCTCAATCATCCCAGGCCAGTCCTGCACACACGTGTGCGGTCTGCGTGTGAGTGTACATATAACATGTGTGTGAGGTGTGTGTACGTATAACATGTGTGTGGGGTGTGTGTACATGTAACATGTGTGTGGGGTGTGTGTACATATAACATGTGTGTGGGGTGTGTGTACATGTAACATGTGTGTGGGGTGCGTGTACATGTAACATGTGTGTGGGGTGTGTGTACATGTAACATGTGTGTGGGGTGTGTGTACATGTAACATGTGTGTGGGGTGCGTGGGGTGTGTGATTGCGCGCTGTGCTTGTGAACCCGGCGACCCGAGTTCGATTCCCGCTCACGGACAATACCGGTGAGGATTAATTATCTGAACAGGTCATGGGCCTCCCCTAGGTCAACTCAGCCTCAAGTGAGTACCTGGTGTTGTGTAAACATCGCCATTGGGGAGACAAAGGCGGTCGAGCGTGGTGTTGGCCACCCACCCCATCATAAGTGCTGCTACTCGCTAACAGAACTTTTCCCAAGTCTGTTAAAGCCCGCACGGGGCAGAGTTTAGTGTGTGTGCATACAACACACACACACTTTTATATCTGTATTGAAAGCTAATTTCTGTAGAACAGCTTTTCGTGTTTAGTTTGTTGTCCTTCCCCAGCACCTCCGATTAGGCAAATGTACAGGTACAGTGGAATGAGAGGTGAGAAATGCAGACGCGATAGAGAAGAGAGATATTAATTGTTAATGAGCTCATCGTGTTCATTAAACTGAATTCGAGTTGATATTGAATGCACCTCAATAATTTCGTTAATTCGGGAACCCCTTGAGCCCCTCGGGACATGACGCTTTGCTTGAGCCGAGCGCCACCTGCCGGTCCTGCCGGGAATGCAGCTCGGTGTTGACGCGCGGGGGTGCAACACAGAGCCCCCACCCCCCCACACGGTGACAGGAGATGTTCACTACCTCGCCTGGTGTGCAGGAGGTCGTGGGCTCGATCCCGACCCTGACGCCGCCTGCTGCTGCTGCTGTTCTGTGTTTGCGGATTGCGTCTCTCTCTCTCTGTCTCTCTTCCCGTGGTCGCGTGGATCTTTCTCCAGGTCCTCTGGGTTCCCCTCCACATTCAGAATCAACACCACCACGCGTTTAGGGGTCGTCCATAAATGACGTCACGCACTTAGGGGGGAGGGGGTCAGACATTTGTGACGATGTGTGACGAGGGGGGGTTCGAGAAATGTGACGTCACATCAAAATGCGCAACTTTAAATAAATATAGACAACACGTTCTACTTAATTAAATAGACTTTTTGATAAATGTTTTCTCCTACATCAGAGTGCAGCGCCACATTAAATACGCACTACAATGACAATAGTTTAAAGCGATTTGAAGCATGTGTTATTTTCAAAATTGAAATATTTTTTTGGGGGGTGGGGGGGCAGAGCTTTGTGACGTCATATTTGAGGGTCTGACTTTTTGTGACGCCGTGTGACGAGGGGGGGAGTCAAAAATCGTCTAAAATCGCGTGACGTCATTTATGGACGGCCCTTAGAGTATTTGGCTTCTGCTATGAATGTCAGTGACGGCTTGAGGGACGTAATTCGGTTTGTGACGACATCGTTGCGAAACGACGTCACCGGGGGAGGTCCTGGCGCTGTACAGTGCGTCACGTGGCTTTGTCTACCCCGTACAAAGATGGCGGCGGCCCGTGTCGAGTCGGGCGCGGGTCGCGCGGCGATGACGCGTCGCGCCGCGGAGGAGGCGGCGGCAGTCCCGGCACGTGGTCGCAGAGGCGCTCCGGGCCACGCCGCTTCGAGGCCTACGACTCCTCCTCCTACTCCTCCTCTCACCTCCACGCGGCCACAGCCGCCGCTGCTGCTGCTGCTCCTCCTGACACCACCACCACCCCCCCCCCTGATTTAGCAACTCGCTTTAAACATCTCTGCTGTTAAAGAGGCTCCTGCCCCCCCCCCCTTCCTCCAGCTGCGCGGTTGGACAGAGACATGAGCATGGCAGACCCACAGGTCTCTGTTTCAGTTGTGGCGCTCCTGCTGCTGCTGCTGCGACTCCTTGCTTGCCGTGATGGTGGTTGTGGTGGTGATTGTTGGAGTGCTGGTGGTGGTGGTGATGATTGTTGGAGTGATGGTGGTGATTGTTGGAGTGATGGTGGTGATGGTGATGATTGTTGGAGTGATGGTGGTGATGGTTGTTGGAGTGATGGTGGTGATTGTTGGAGTGATGGTGGTGATGGTGATGATTGTTGGAGTGATGGTGGTGATTGTTGGAGTGCTGGTGGTGATAGGGGATGTGATGCTGCTGCTGGTGGTGAGGTGGTCGTTATGGTGGTAATGTTTTTAGGTGCTTGCTAACAGAACTTTCCCCAACAGTTTGTTAGGGCTATACGGGAGATCTTTGTCTTTTGTGATGTTTTTTGTGGAAACGTGATGGTGATGATGGTAGTGGTGGTTATGGAGAATACAATGGTGGTGATGGTTACTGGTGGTGATGGTACTGGTGGTGATGGTTACTGGTTGATGGTACTGGTGGTGATGGATACTGGTGGTGATGGTACTGGTGGTGAGAGGAATCGGTGGTGGTGGTAGTGGTGATGGGGTTGGTGGTGGTAGTGGTGATGGGGTTGGTGGTGGGGAATATCACGGTGGTGATGGTATTGGTGGTGGTGATTATAACCGTGGTGAGGAGAATCGTGGTGGTGGTGGTCATCGTGAGCATGATGGTGATCATGGACGTGGTTAAAAATGATGATGGTGGTGATACTACTGCTGATGAGAGGAATCTTGAGAGTGGTGTGAATGGTGATGTTGAGGATTACGGCAATGGTGATCATGATAGGAATTGTCCTCCTGGTGGTGTGGATGCCGCTGGTGATAATGGAGGTTGGTGGTGATGTTGGCACTGGTTGTGGGGGGATTGTGGTGATGTGGGACTGGACTTGCCAATGACCGGTACCAGTGGTGTCAAGATCGGCCTCTGTGGAGGAGGAGGCTCGTGAAGGACGCTACTGGGCAGTTGGAGGCAGTCGCCCTCCAGCAACAACGGAGGGCGGAGGAGCGACGCTCACAACAACGAGCGGAGCGCCGGGTGGCTAAAGCACAGCAAGTTGGTACAGTAAGGGGCACAGGAGGTGCATCAGCCAGGAGTGGTCTCAGTCAACCCATGGCACCTGGTTGCCTCAGTGCACCTAGCCTGGTACAAGCGCCGTAGTGACGTCGCCGCCACTTAGTGGCGAATGGCGGCTATTGGTGTTGGTAGTGAGTGATGATGATGGCAATGGTCATGTTTAGTGTCATGGTTGTGGTAACCTTGTGGTGGTGGTGGGTATAAAGGTAACGCTGGGGATTCAGGCAATGGTGCTGCTGGTGATGGTTATGGTGTTTGGGATTGTTGTGATGGGAGTGGTTGTGATGATGATGGTGGTGGTGGTGTTAATGATGGGGGTGATGGTGGTAAGGATGTTCGTGAAGACGATAATGGTGATTTTGGTCGCGATCGTGGTAATGGAGACTGGTTATGAGGTTGGTGGTGATGGTGGTCATGAGGATTCTGGTAGGGGTCAAGGTGGTGGTGATGTATTGAGGATGTTGATGTTGAAAGATGGAAGTATCGTAGTGCTCGACCAAACCTCGCCAACCGAGTTTGAGTCCCGCTCAAGGCCACCAACACCGGTGATGATTATCTGAACCGGCGCTGGCCCTCCCCTAGGTCGACTCGGCCTCATGAGTACCTGGTGCGGTGTGTAGTAAACATCGCCACTGGGGAGACAAAGGCGGCCGGGCGTGGTGCTGGCCACCCACCCGCTCGTGTGCCGCCCCGGTGCTCATTAACAGCACTTGCCCCAAAAGTCGGTCCGGCCTTCACGGGGGATCCTCGTGTTTGTTGGTAGCGATGGAGCGAGTGGTGTCAGTGACGCTCACCTCTCTGTCCGTGTGGCTGCAGGGCGTGGAGGCGGTGAGGAGGCTCGCGTCCCGCGTGACCAGCTCCAGCGTGCGGGACCGGGAGGCCACATTCACCGAGCTGAGACCCTCCCTGTGCAACGCCGGTGTGTGGGGTGTGTGTGTGTGGGGTGTGGGTGTGGGGTGTGTGTGTGGGGTGTGTGTGTGTGTGTGTGGGGGTGGGGTGTGTGTGGGACGGGTAGCGCATTCACCACTTGTTGCGGAGATTTGTGGATTAAATCGGGTGTATTAAACATTAAACACGAGCCGTCTGATTCAAAGCGGACGTTAAAAATCTCTGGAAGCGTCATCCCAATCGAGTCGGCCATGGCTGTGATGGAGTCGTGGTCCAGATCTTTTAAAAGTAAAAAGTTACACCGTGAAAAATTACTCACTTGAGATTACACAGCAGTGCGTTCGTGGTAGCCCTGCGCTGTATGAATGGCACAAATACGGGATGTACTAAATTCTAATAAGTTATTATAACTGCAAAGCACAGGCGAATGTTGTGTACCTTGGACAGCTCCCGAAAGCAGGCCGGAATGAAAACGATGATATTAAGAGATGGATCAGACGAGATTGAAATGCTTATGGAAAGATAATAGTGATATTCAAAAGCAACGTAGAGGTGAGCCTAGAGAAAGGAGAGTTGCTAATCCACGTGTACCACCTGCTATGATGTATGGATCGGAAACGTGTACATTAAAGAAGATAATGGAACAAAAACTGGAAAGTGCTCAAAGAAGCAAGGGTGGGCGCCTGCTTGCATTGAGAGAGGGAGAGAGGGGCACGTGGGCTCAGGAGCGTACGCAGGTTACACACATCCGGCAACATGTCGCTCGGTGGGGTGGTGATGACCCAGCCTCTACCTCTAACTCTCGAGCCATGAACTATCACTCTTACCCATGACTCTTACCTCTAACCACTTACTGTAACCGCTAGCCATAACCCTACTAACTCTAACCCCAAACCCTTAACCCTTTTCCTAACTCTAAACCATTACACTAATCGCTAACCCTATTCCTAACTCTAACCCCAAATTAAAAACTCAACCTCTACACATGATTCTAACCCCTACTATCCCATGCCCGTAACACCAGACTTTAATCCCTAACTATAATCCCTAACTCTAACCCATGTCCCTAACTCTAACCCATGTCCTTAACTCTAACCCATACCCTCGTGTGTGTGCAGGGCTGCCCGAAGCGGCTGTCAAGGCTGTGTGCCGGCTGATGTGCATGACTCTGCAGCGCTACAGGTACCGCCCTCGCCCCCAATCGCAGTGTCCCCAACGTCAACTCCAGCCTGCTATAGTTGCGTGTGTGGGCGTATGGGGAGCGGTAGTGTAGTGGTTAGCTCGCGGAACTACAAATACAGCAACCAGAGTTCGATTCCTGCTTACAGCCAATACCAGTGTTGAGTATCTGAACCGGTCCTGGGCTGGAGATCTTGCTGGCTGCACCATCCCCTTGGGTACCGTGCAGGCCTTGAGACTTGGCCTATGGCGACCTTTGTGTGTGTGTGTGTGTGTACATGTGGGGAGTGGTGGTATAGCGGTTAGCACTGCACTGCATTATGGACCTGGAGACCTGGGTTCGATGGATGGCCAAAGCAAACATCAGTGGCAAGTAATACCTGAAATGATCCTGGACCTCCCCTAGTACGACTTAGCCTTAAATAAATAACTGTTGGAATGTGTGAAAACATCAGCACTCGGGTAGACAAGCAACCGGGTACGATACCAGCCATACAACCCCCTCATCCCATCCCAAAACGCGTGTATCTTCCCGTCACGCGTGTGCCAGGTCCATTACACGTGTGCCAGGTCCATTACACGTGTGCCGCTCCCACCACGCGTGTCCCATCTCGCCACGCTTGTGCTGTCCCATCCATTTGTCGCACGTTTGCCATCCTGTCGCGCGTGTACCATGCCTTCCCATCCCGCCACGCTTGTGCCAACGCATCCGTCCGTCGCGCGGGTGCCGCTCCCGTCGCGAGTATGCCGCTCCCGTCACGTGACGTGTGTGTCGCCCCGTCACCCATTTGCGCATCTCCAGGGATGCAGCGTCGCGCCGGGCGGTGCGCGAGACCCTGCGCGTGCTGGCCGAGGCGTATCCCGCCGCCACGGCGCGTGCTCTGCCTCCGCTGCTGCCCCAGGCGGCCCTCGTCTCCAAGGGCAGCGGTCCCACGTGAGTGCCGTCCGCCGGGGTCAAAGGTCATTGCTGCGCCCCCACGGTTCGGACGGCCAGAGGGACACTTGGACTCGTCTCGGCGTGATACATATCATGTAAAAACCAACACGCCAGCAGCCGGGCCAACATACTTACTGTGCTGCCACCTTCCATTGGTGTGGTTTTACTTGCTGCATGGTGGGGGTGCGGGGGGGGGAGAAGGTCAGGGGATGAGTGGGATGGGGATGCAAGGAAGAGGTCATGGAATTTGGCGACGATTCCCCACGAGGATTCCTCACGCTACACAGCCAGGTGTCGCCATTGATGGCTGCCGCGTGGCCCCCGCAGGAAGTGCAGCAGTGCGGCGGCGGCGGAGGCGGTGGCGTGGACCTGCACGCTGGCACGAGCGGCGTTCACCTCGCCCGACTCCCAGGAGGGCGAGGCCTGGAAGCAGCTGGTGAGGGGCGACGCACTCGCCGCAGCACACGGTCACCGCAGAAGAAGCACTCCTCGCTGCCAGCGCTATGAACCGATGGTTACCCGACTGCACATGACGACGATGCACTCGTGCTACTGGCACTCTACAAAAGACACGATCCCATATGTAGCCGTAACAGACTGTTGGGGCAAGGGCTTTTAGGGAGTGGCACCTATGAAGGCCGGCACGGCACACGAAGGGGATGGTGGCCAGCACCACGCCCGACCGCCTTTGTCTCCCTAGTGGTGATGTTTACGCACCGCACCAGGTACTTATTTGATGATGAATCGACCTAGGGGAGGCCTGGGACCAGTTCAGATAATCGTTACAGGTGTTGGCCGTGAGCGGAAATCGAACTCGGGTCGCCGGGTTCGAAGTGCAGCTCGCTAACCACTGCACTACCGCTCTGCAAACGAACACTGCACACCCACACTGACACCATGACAAGCACTGGCACTCACTGTACACTTTAAAGAAGGTCTTGTGGGGATCACGTGAAGGTGGTCTTCCCTCTGGTCGAGTCATCGTGCCGTCTCCCCCTGCGGTGCAGGTGGAGGTGCAGGGCGTGCTGCTCACCGAGGCACTAGGAAGTCCGCGTCGGAGCGTCCGGGACTCCGTCGGCAAGAAGCTCGTGCGCCTCTGGACCGAGGTACGGGCGCTGCTGCTGTGCCGGGCCGTGGGCCGGAGCCGATTCATCGACTCAGTGATTGCCAGGGCCCCATCCTGCCTCCCGTAGGCAGTGAGCGTGCACTGCGCTACGAACCCGGCGACCCGAGTTCGATTCTCGCTCACGGCCAATGTCGGTAACAATTATCTGAGCTGGTCCTGGGCCTCACCTAGGTCGATTCATTGTCAAATGAGTACCTGGTGCGGTGTGTAAACATCACCACTAGGGAGACAAAAGCAGTCGGGCCTGGTGTTGTCCACCCACCCCCTCGTGCGCCGTGCTGGCCTTCGTCGGTGCTCGCTAACAGCACTTGCCCCAAGTTTGTTCAGGCTATACGGGGGTCCTTTGTGCGTGAGTGAATCATCTGCCAGTCACGTCAGTTATCCCATAACACCCCTGGGTCTGTCCTGTGACTTGTTGATGGTGAGCATTCTACACTTCACGTGGCCTCAACGTGCACCTAGCCTGGCACAAATGCCGTGGGGATGTCACCACTACTTGGTGTCGAAAGCCTGTTGTGGTGCGAGTGCGTGTCGGTACGTGCTCGTGTGGGGAGCGGTGGCGCAGTGGTTAGTACAAACCTGGCCACCCCAAGTTCAATTCCTGGTTACAGCCAATATTCATAACCGGTCGTGGGCCTCCCTTGGGTGAACTCCTTTAAGTGAGTAACTACCTTGTGCGTCGCACAAAACATCTACACTGCGGGTAACAAAAGCGATGGCTATGCCACCTCCTTGCTGGCCTCCAAAGGTGCTCGCTAACAGGGCCTGCACCAGCTAACGCAGGTGATATTTATCTTTGTGCGTGTCTCTGCGTGCCTCTGCGTGTCTCTGCGTGTCTCTGCGTGCGTCTGCGTGGCCTAGCTGCCCGCGCTGGTGGAGCGCTACATGAGCACCCTGTTGTCTGGAGATGCCGGTGCCAGCAGCCTGTGTCTCGTCGGTGCCCTGGTGGAGCACTGCTGCAAAACGGGCCACACCAGCACGGTCGACGGGCACAAGGTGTGCCCCGCTCGTCTGTGCCCCGCTCATCCGTCCATTCACCCACTCGGCCTCTCACCCGCTTGCCCGCCCGCTCGCTCGGCCGCCCATCCAACCCCCCTCCCGCTCGTCCCCTCTCTCACCTAGTCACCCGCACGCTCGCTCGCCCTCTGCCAATCAGTGGGCTAAGTAAGTGGTTGAGTAGTAGACGGGAGAGGGCAGGCGAGCGAATTGTTGTAGGTGGTTGAGTGGTCGTAGCTTCTATGGCCGTCTGGAACACTCTTCCTTCCGATATTAGAAAGCCACTGGAGCCATGCAATTTTACATCTAGATTGAAAACTTCAGACCTTTTTGTGTTTAGTGTGTTGTTCTTCCCCTGCACCTCAGATGAGTATGGTTGGTTACGTGCGGGAAGAGGTTCAACATACATACGATACAACACCGTTACATAGACGGGAGGGAGTGGTTGAGTGGTGCCGACCAGAGGAGTCGGCCCAGCGTGGGGACTGCATCCTGGAGCGGTGGTTCCAGTCCTGTGGTATGCATACCCGCACGGTACCTGTGAGCTCTCTAGGGGGATACACATCACCTCTCTAGGGGGTACCCATGGCATCTCTCGGGAGTACCCGTGACCTTTAGGGGGTACCCGTGACCTCTGGGAGGTATGTGTCACCTCACTAAGGGGCACCCGTGACCTCTGGGAGGTAAATGTGACCTCTGGGGGTTCCCGGTGACCTCCCCAGGGAGTAACCGTTTGTGCACAAGAGATTTATATTAAAGTTCTATACTTATCTGTAGTATGTATTGTAGAGAACCCGTGCCCTTGATTTCCTGCTGGGGCAGTTCTCTTGCTTAACATCCACGCGCCGTGCCGGCCCTCATAGGTGCTGCTCACCAACAGCACTTGCCCCAACAGCCTGCTAAAGGCTACACGGGGGAACTTTGTCTCTGTGTGTGACGTTACTTCTGCTGATGCTTCTGCTTCAGGCTCAAATGATCGACCTCTTCATCAAGGCTTCCTTCCTCGGCAAATCGAAGCCTTCCGCCCACGTGTTGGTGAGCTCCTGTGTGTGTGTGTGCGTGTGAGGAAGCTCATGAAGGACGCTACTGGGTATTTGGAGGCAGTCGCTCTCCAACAACAGAGGAGGGCAGAGGGAGCGATGCTCGCAACAACAAGCGGAGCGCCAGGCAGATAAATGCAGCAAGTTGGCACAGTAGGGGGGGCACAGCTGGTTCATCTGCCAGCCATCTTAGTCGGTCAACCCACGGCACCTGGGTCTGTCCCGTGACCTCCTGTCAGCGAGCCTTCGACACTTCACGTGGCCTCAGAGTGCACCTGGCCTGACATAAGCGCCGTGGTGACATCACCGCCACTTTGTGGCGAATGGAGGCTGTTGTTGTTCTGTGCGTGTGTTTGAAGAGGCGGGATTGGTGGCGCAGCGGTTAGTGCGCCGCGCTACGAACCCGGCAACCCCAGTTTGAATCCCGCTCGCAGCCAAGACCAGTGACGATTATCTGAACGGGTCCTAGGCCTCCCCTAAGTCGGCTCGGCCTCAGATGAGTACCTGGTGCATTGTGTAAATATCGCCAGGACGTAGACAAACGTCGCCGGGTGTGCGCTTGGTGCCGGCCTGCATAGGTGCTCGTGAGCAGCACTTGCCTCAAGGTTGTTCGAGGCTATACGGGGGAACTCTGTTTTGGGTGTGTTTATGTATTACGGATGAGTTTGGAATTACAACATTTCACATTTTTCTTTATTTGAGGACGATTTTGTATCTTATTTCTGATCTTTATTCTACAACAATGCAATGGTTCTTCACACTGACAGAAGTGACGTCACCTGACACCAGATGTGTTGTCATTTCCTGTGACGTCACTGGTATCAATCCGAACCTATATTTTTTGTCAGTCCACGTTTTGTATCTCGGTCTAGATATTTATGTATAAACTTTTGATACTCAACTTGATGTTGCCAGGTAAGGCCCACTGACTGGAGCAGCACCGTGGCAAGATGTTGACTCCCTCGCCTGGTGTACAGGAGGTCGTGGGCTCAATCCTGACCCTGACACCTGCTGCTGTATATTTGGAGTTTGCGTGTTCTCCCTGTGATGCTCCGGTGTCTCCAGTTCTTCCCTGCTTTTAAAGTATTTGACTGCTATAGATTTCCAACTGACAAGCCCCTACTTTGAGTTATCATTTGTGGCCAGGTCGCTGCTGAAAGAGAGCAACGTGAATGATAGCTTAACGAAGCGGTGTATCGTGTCTAATTGATAGCAGCCAAATACTCTAAAAGCATGTTGATTCTAATTGTGGAGGGAAAAGCCGGAGGACCGTGAGAAAAATCTCCACGACCATGGGGAGAGAGAATATGCAAACTCCAAATATATGGAGCCCACGACCTCCTGCATACCAGGCAAGGGAGTTAACATCTGGCCACTGTGGTGCCCCCCCACACGTATTTACATGTCCCCCCCTCCACTCGCCCCTCGCCCCCTCCCCCCTCGCCCTCTCCCCCCTCGCCCCCTCCCCCCTCGCCCCCTCCCCCCTCGCCCCCTCCCCCCTCGCCCCCTCCCCCCTCGCCCCCTCCCCCCTCCCCCCTCCCCCCTCCCCCCTCGCCCCTCGCCCCTCGCCCCCTCGCCCCTCCCCCCTCGCCCCCTCCCCCCTCGCCCCCTCCCCCCTCGCCCCCTCCCCCCTCGCCCCCTCCCCCCTCGCCCCCTCCCCCCTCGCCCCCTCCCCCCTCGCCCCCTCCCCCCTCGCCCCTCCCCCCTCCCCCCTCCCCCCTCGCCCCCTCCCCCCTCGCCCCCTCCCCCCTCGCCCCCTCCCCCTCCCCCTCGCCCCCTCCCCCCTCGCCCCCTCCCCCCTTGCCCCCTCCCCCCCGCAGGAGCACTGTGGCCCCTTGGTGCGCCGTCTCACCCACGCCGACTTCAAGGAGCTCGTCCTGCCGGTCGTCGTCAAGTCGATGCTGCGCAGCCCCGAGAACGCCATCGATGGTGAGCATCATCACCACCATCATCATCACCATCATCGTCACCATCGTCACCATCATCACCATCATCGTCACCATCGTCACCATCGTCACCACCATCATCATAGTCACCATTGTCACCATCGTCACCATCACCACCATCATCACCACCATCATCACCTTCACCATCATCACCACCATCGTCACCATCATCGCCACCATCGTCACCATCACCACCGCCGCCATCAATACCGCCGCCATCAACACCGCCATACCCACCGCCATCACCACCAGTTCAATACTATGCCCACTCCATTATTAACACAATCACATCCATCAATACCATCACTGCCTTCCCCGCCATTGCCAATATCATCACCATGCCTGCCTTATCTACGGGTGTTACGCTAACCCTAGCCGGAATGTTAGTCTTCGCCACAAACTTAACCCTGATCTCCACAGCTTGATTTAACCCCAGCAGTAACCCCCAGCGTGCGTGTGCGTGTTCCACAGCGGTGGGCTCGCTCCTGTCACTGGTTACCCTTGACCTGAGCCAGTACGCAATGGACATCGGCAGAATCCTCGCGAGTGAGTCCCCCTCCTCCTATCTCCCCCCTCCCCGCTCCGTTTGCCCTCCCACCACTAGTTCACATAAGATGTTGTCAACACGCGGACATTTGTTTGCGAGATACCGACACCGGGACGGACTTTGAGAAACCGGGACTGTCCCGGCAGAACCCGGACGATTCTCAGTCTGACCGGGAACGGAGTAAAACCAAGGTGGACATGGCAGGTGGACATGGCAGGTGGACATGGCAGGTGGACATGGCAGGTGGACAAGGCAGGTGGACGTGGCAGGTGGACATGGCAGGTGGACATGACAGGTGGACGTGGCAGGTGGACGTGGCAGGTGGACGTGGCAGGTGGACGTGGCAGGTGGACAAGGCAGGTGGACGTGGCAGGTGGACGTGGCAGGTGGACGTGGCAGGTGGACGTGGCAGGTGGACGTGGCAGGTGGACGTGGCAGGTGGACGTGGCAGGTGGACATGGCAGGCCGCTGCGGCAAGTGGGTAGAATCAAGCCAAGGCCGCTCACGTGTGCCCTCTCCGCCTTTATGCCCCCTCCACCTACTCCCCTCAAGATTGCGTGACCACGTGAGTTCGTGTAACCTGTGTGGCTGTGTGACTGCGTGATTGTGTGACCACGTGATTGTGTGACGACGTGACCGCGTGATCGTGTGATCACGTGATTGTGTGACCACGTGATCGTGTGACCACGTGATTGTGTGACCACGTGATTGTGTAACCACGTGATTGTGTGACCACGTGATTGTGTGACCACGTGATTGTGTGACGACGTGACCGCGTGATCGTGTGACCACGTGATTGTGTGACCACGTGATTGTGTGACCAGCGTGATTGTGTGACTGCGTGATTGTGTGATCGCGTGATTGTGTGACCGCGTGATCGTGTGATCACGTGATTGATTGTGTGACCGCCCAGGCCAGCTCAAGTCGAACAGCGCTGCGCTGGCGGAGGCGGCCGGGGTGGCGCTGCGTGGCCTCGCGCGCCAGTGCAGCGAGGGGGACGCCCTCGAGAGCCTCCTGAGGCACCTCTTCGCCGTCCTCAATGGTAGCGCTCGTGCCGGTGATGATGGTGGTGCTGGTGGTGGTGATGATGGTGGTGGTGTTTGTGGTGATGATGGTGGTGCTGGTGGTGGTGGTGATGATGGTGATGATGGTGGTGGTGTTTGTGGTGATGATGGTGGTGCTGGTGGTGGTGATGGTGGTGTTTGTGGTGGTGTTTGTGGTGATGATGGTGGTGGTGTTTGTGGTGATGGTGCCGGTGCTGGTGGTGGTGCTGGTGGTGATGATGGTGATGATGGTGGTGGTGTTTGTGGTGATGATGGTGATGATGGTGGTGCTGGTGGGGGTGATGGTGATGGTGGTGTTTGTGGTGATGGTGGTGTTTGTGGTGATGGTGGTGTTTGTGGTGATGGTGGTGGTGATGGTGATGGTGGTGTTTGTGGTGATGATGGTGGTGGTGTTTGTGGTGATGATGGTGGTGTTTGTGGTGATGGTGATGGTGGTGTTTGTGGTGTTTGTGGTTGTGATGGTGGTGTTTGTGGTGATGATGGTGGTGCTGGTGGTTGTGATGGTGATGGTGGTGTTTGTGGTGATGGTGGTAATGATGGTAATGACGGTGGTGCTAATGGTTGACGGAGGGGCCGATGGTAGCGTTGTTTGTGGTGCTGAGGTTAGCGGTGGTACAGGCGGCAGTGATGATGGTGCCGGTGCTGATGGTGGCACGTGGTTGGCGATCGTTTTGGTTTTGTCGTTGCCGCTGTGACTCGTTCCAACTGTGAACCCCGTTCACCTCTCTCAGGGTCGGAGGGGAAGCTGACGGTCGCGGCACAGAAGATCAGCGTCCTGTCAGGTCAGTCGCTGGGTGTGAGTCACCCCCTCCCCCGCCCACCTCGCGCCTCTCCCCGCCCCCCCCCCGCCCTGTGTGCGCACGTGCCTGTGTGCGCAAGTGTCGGTGTGCGCAAGTGTTGGTGTGCGCAAGTGTCGGTGTGAGCGTGTGCGCCGGTTGGTGAGTGAATGCGTGCGTGCGCGTGTGTGTGTGTGTGTAATGGTGGGGCCGGCCGTGGTGTTGGCCACCCAGCCCCCTCGTGTGCCGCGCCGCCCTTCGTAGGTCCTGCTACTCGCTAACGGCGCTTGCCCCAACGTTATGTTGTGGCTACACGCGGGATCTCTGTCTGTGTGTGTGCGCGCATGCAGGTGTGGCGAGTCTGAGCCAGCACGTCGTGTCCACCGGCGCCGCCCAGGCCCTGAGCCGAGTGGCAATCGAGCTCTTTGTGCATTTCCTGCAGCAGGAGGGTACGAGCACCCACACGCCAATCACCGCCATCGCAACCACGGCCATCGCAACCACGGCCATCTCAACCGCCGCCATGGCAACCGCCACCATCAACTCCATCTACTCCCGTCAACACCATCAGCATCGTCGCCATCAACAGCACAATTGGCACCATCATCATGACCACCATCGCGATCGCTACCAACAGCGCCGCCGACACGAGTAAGAGATTGGTCTCCCTCCCGTCCGCGCTCGCCTCCCACGGTCCCCGCACATGTTCCGTCTGTGTCCGTGCCCCCCCCCCCCCCCTCGCGTGCCTCCCCTCGCGCGTAGTGCACGACGGCACGCTGGTGTCAGCGCTCGCGGCTCTCTCGGCGTGGTGCGCCCGCCTGGCGGCACCGCCCGCACCGCTGCTGCTCGCGGCCTTCCGCGACGGGGCGACGCGCAAGGGAGCAACGAGCGCCACACGGCTCGCATACCTGCAGTGCATGAACGCCACCTTCCACGGTGCGCACCACACCGTGTCACCGTACCACACACACCGCACACCGTGTCACCACACCACACCGTGTCACCACACCGTGTCACCACACACAGCGTGTCGCCACACCGCCTCACCGCCGGTCCCCTGCGAGTGCAGGAGACAGCGCGCTGGCGGCGCTGGAGCTGCTGCCGTGCCTCTCGCAGGCGCTGGAGCGCGCCGCCGCGCAGGGCTCGCAGGTCGCCATGGTGACGGAGGGGGCCTCGGCCGCGCTGCTCGTGTGCCGCCTTGCCGTGGCCGACGCCCAAGTCGGTGAGCTGGGAGGTCGCGACGCCGGTTCAACAGGAACAATCATAATTTGCGCTCCGGGTCCCCGCGCACGCACACTGCACCCATCGCACGTGAAGCGACCGCGTTTGTTCACCCACCCACCATTCAGAGTAATGCCGGCTGCTTGACCGCTGAACTGATATTTTGAATTGTCAGAGCTGGAGTTTATTATTACCTCCTGGACATCTGTGAAAAAGAGCTTCATGGCTCGTCGGATTCCTCCGGTCTAAATACAAAATCGATTTCTGATTCTGACCTGCGCTGTTCCCGAACGGAGACTTGGCGAGTGGTGTGGAGCCCGCCTTCAACGGGTGCTCGCAAGCCGTGGGTTGCCCCTTGGGGCTGTGGGTTGCCCCTCGGGGCGGCGTGAACGCACTGCGTGTCCGTCTCGTGTTTTGACCCAGACACCAAACTCTCGGCGCTGTGGCCCCTCATCGTGGACGAGAAGAAGCAGCTCTTCACGGCGGACAAGTTTCTGGCACAGGGGTCCGATGAAGGTGCCGCGCCAATCTCTCTCCATCGCCGTTGCCGGCCGTTGCCGCCCGTCATCGCCGCGGGTCGCGTGGCGTCGGTCTCCCGCGTCGCGTGCCTTGCGTCTCGCACAGGTTTCCCTCGCCCTGTGCGGGAGTGTGGTACTGTATGCACGTTGAACTTCTTTCGCACCGTGCGTAGCCATCCTTGCTAATCGGAGGTGCGGGGGAAGGACGACAAACTAAATGCAAAAAGCAGCTCTAAAGAAATGAGTTTTAATCGAGATGATTTAAAAGTGCACATCTCCAGTGAATTCCTAATATCGGAAGGAAGAGCGTTCCAGACGGCCGCAGGAGCGCGTCTGAAAGCGCGCGATGCGGTGACCGTCTTTGTTCGATGGTTTGCTCAAAGCCGCTGCTGCTGCCAGGATGACCGGAGTCCGCGTAATGGTTTATGGTCCTTGACGAGACCGGCAAGGTGTGTGCGGTTTAGTCGTGGCAGGCGCTTGGTGACGAGTGCAACCTCACAACGTGTTCGCTCGGCAACCAGAAGCTAAATTTCGATTTAAAGCTTTCGTGACTGCAGGGATTCATCTTCTTGTTTCTTTCGGTAAAGTCACGTAGAAGGGAAGTAATAAAATAATAAAAATAAAACATAATAAAACAATTCTCACGACGTTTCGGCTACAACGCAAGCAGCCGTCTTCAGGTGAAGAATGAGACACTACCAAACTAGGAGCTTATATATAAGCTGCATTGGGGGTTGAAGAGCGCCTTAACAAAAAGAATGTGCATGTGAAGAGGGATTTAGCATATTCATGGAAAATGCGTAGGCGTTGGGCGGGGGGGTGTCAAAGTCATATTATGCCCATGCATTATGCAGGATCAGCAGCAACCAAGGGGGGTGCAGGGATTAGCAGTAACAAAGGAAAGGAATGTTAATGATATGTAGCTGCAGTTACTCAACAACCACGTAGAAAACTAAAGTATAAACTACATAAAAAACTAAAGTATAAACTGCATCGCACCATCAGTATACTTACTATACTCTATAATAAGCTGAGTTACTAACAGCAAGTAATACATTACAATTTTACCTCGTAAAAATTCTATAATATGCTTCCATCTAAACCTTATTCTCTTACATCACACGAGCATATACCGTACTATATACTGCCATAGATAAACCCAACATTAAATTATATACTGTATTGCTGTAAACCAACCTATATCTTATACATTTAATATCACACTATGTATTATTCTACACACCCTAATGTGTATCGAAATGGTTTATTACGTCCTTCCAATGATTGCTGAGCCAGAATCCATCTTCTCGGTTAAAGTTGTCTCTGTGTTTGTATATGTGGATCGCCTCATGAACGAATCTCTCATGATAGCCAGATGGCTTGCAGAGAACCTCCGTCTTGGAGAAGTCAATATCATGTGAGCCCACTGAGTTGTAACAGTGATCTGCCACGGCTGAGGTGTTAGTCCTACCGTGTTTCAGGTCAGCTTTATGTTCACGGATGCGGTCCGAGACATGTCGTTTGGTTTCCCCAATGTAACTGCTACCACAGAGGCAACTTAGTTTGTAGACGCCAGGGTACTGTATGTCTGGAACCACATCTTTTACAGACGGTACCAGATCACGGATTTTATGTACTGTGTTGAATCGGACCTGGATCTTGTGTTTAATCAGGATTTTGGAGATCTTTTTTGTGACCCCAGCAATGTAGGGTAAGGTGATGGTCTTGAAAGGCTCCTCAACAGGATCCTTCTTGATGGTTGGAGTGATGGCTTTGCGGATTGTATAGTCGGAGTAACCATTTGCCTTAAGAGCTTGGCGTACGTGTTTGAGTTCACATTTCCAGTGAACTCAAACACGTACGCCAAGCTCTTAAGGCAAATGGTTACTCCGACTATACAATCCGCAAAGCCATCACTCCAACCATCAAGAAGGATCCTGTTGAGGAGCCTTTCAAGACCATCACCTTACCCTACATTGCTGGGGTCACAAAAAAGATCTCCAAAATCCTGATTAAACACAAGATCCAGGTCCGATTCAACACAGTACATAAAATCCGTGATCTGGTACCGTCTGTAAAAGATGTGGTTCCAGACATACGGTACCCTGGCGTCTACAAACTAAGTTGCCTCTGTGGTAGCAGTTACATTGGGGAAACCAAACGACATGTCTCGGACCGCATCCGTGAACATAAAGCTGACCTGAAACACGGTAGGACTAACACCTCAGCCGTGGCAGATCACTGTTACAACTCAGTGGGCTCACATGATATTGACTTCTCCAAGACGGAGGTTCTCTGCAAGCCATCTGGCTATCATGAGAGATTCGTTCATGAGGCGATCCACATATACAAACACAGAGACAACTTTAACCGAGAAGATGGATTCTGGCTCAGCAATCATTGGAAGGACGTAATAAACCATTTCGATACACATTAGGGTGTGTAGAATAATACATAGTGTGATATTAAATGTATAAGATATAGGTTGGTTTACAGCAATACAGTATATAATTTAATGTTGGGTTTATCTATGGCAGTATATAGTACGGTATATGCTCGTGTGATGTAAGAGAATAAGGTTTAGATGGAAGCATATTATAGAATTTTTACGAGGTAAAATTGTAATGTATTACTTGCTGTTAGTAACTCAGCTTATTATAGAGTATAGTAAGTATACTGATGGTGCGATGCAGTTTATACTTTAGTTTTTTATGTAGTTTATACTTTAGTTTTCTACGTGGTTGTTGAGTAACTGCAGCTACATATCATTAACATTCCTTTCCTTTGTTACTGCTAATCCCTGCACCCCCCTTGGTTGCTGCTGATCCTGCATAATGCATGGGCATAATATGACTTTGACACCCCCCCGCCCAACGCCTACGCATTTTCCATGAATATGCTAAATCCCTCTTCACATGCACATTCTTTTTGTTAAGGCGCTCTTCAACCCCCAATGCAGCTTATATATAAGCTCCTAGTTTGGTAGTGTCTCATTCTTCACCTGAAGACGGCTGCTTGCGTTGTAGCCGAAACGTCGTGAGAATTGTTTTATTATGTTTTATTTTTATTATTTTATTACTTCCCTTCTACGTGACTTTACCGAAAGAAACAAGAAGATGAACCAGAAGCTAGTGCACCTCGGCGAGCGCTGGGCGGACACGGTGGGATCTTGCAGCACCTGTCGCGGCACGTGCCAGGGAAGTTAGAGGAGTGGATGCGTTCCTAAGAAGGGGAAGCGCAAAGCGAAACCGTGCAGCGTGGAGCACGCAGTGCACTGCACGAGGAGACAGCTGCCTGCCGAGTGGTGCTCACAGTGCACACAGTACATACAGTACACACTGTGCATACAGTACACACGGTGCATACAGTACTACACATGGTACATATGGTACACACGTAAAATATCCCACGTCCTAGTGCGTAGCTGCATCTGAGTGAATTCACAAGGGAATGTTTATTTAGACTGGAGCAATCCGATGAGCTATGAAGCTCTTGTTCACAGATGTCCAGGCGGGGCGAGTTACAACTAAACACAAAAAACGATAGGAAGATCAAAATAGAGAAAATGTAAGCAAGCGTGGAGGCAGTGAGGGTTAGGGGGTCACGTGACCTGTGTCCAGTGTGGAGGCAGTGAGGGTAGTGGGTCACGTGACCTGTGTCCAGCGTTCTGGAGGCGGTGAGGGTTGGCGGATCACCGCACGAATGTTTTTAAACTCCCTTCCCGTGGGTGGGCGTCAATGTGGTGCCTGTACCTGGGCCCGCCAGGAGGGTGCGGCACAGCAAAGTGCCGACTAATCTCCATCTGTTCATTCCGTGTGGGATAGAGCGTTGCCCCCTCTCTCATTCGTGAGTTTTCTCAGGGTGCTCTGGTTTCCGCCCACGGTATAAACGCTCCATTAATGGGCTTGGTATGCCATTTGTCTCGCGTCAGATGTCGCGTGTTACGTGTGTTGTGAAGGTCGCACCGTGTGCATTGCCTAATGTGCTGTGTATTGTCTCTCGTGTCACGTGTGACTCATGTGTGTGTGTCACGTGCGTGTTGCGTGTGTTTTGAAGGTCACACCGTGTGCATCGCGTAACGTGCTGCGTATTGTGTCAGGTGTCACATGCGTGTTGCGTGTCAGCTGCGAGTCTCGTGCGAGTCGCGTGTCACATGCGTGTTGTGTTGCGTGTCTCGTGCGAGTCGTGTGTCACGTGGGCTCCGTGTTGTGTCCTCTGCCCCCGCGCAGCGCTCTGCACGGTGCTGCAGCTCTCCGAGCGACTGCTGCTCGACCACCCGCAGACGGTGACGGCCGAGAAGGCTCGGTGAGAACCCAGCGCCAACATCGCCATCATCGCCATCATCAACGTCATAGCCACCACTGGCGCCACCATCGCCGCCCTCGCACATCATCACGGTCGTCATCATCGGCAGCATTATATAACCACCAACACGGAAGGCGCCACCATCACCAACATCGTATCCATCGCTGGCTACCATCACTGCCAGTCGTACACATCGTGACCACTGCCGTCACTACCATCATCCCACACCTCCAATTCGCGCGGTTGGCTACGTATGGTGTAAAAGAAGTTCAACATGCATATACCACCTCCTACATCATAACCACCACCACCATCGCCAGCACCGTGTACGTCATCGAAACCAGCAACACCAGAACAACTTAATTCTCGTCATCATCATCAGCACCAGCACCACCACGTGGGGAAGGGGATGAGGCAGGGTGCTGTGGCTCAGTGTCTTCTTCCTGGTCTGCCTGTGTCCGTCTGCCTGTGTCTTTGTTTCCCTGTCTGTGTGTCTGTCTGTGTGTGCCATTTCTCTCTGTATGTCTCCATGTCACTGTCTGTGAGTCTTGTGTTTGAGATACGTGTAGATGTTTCCATATCTACATGTATCTCACCCAGGTACATATGTTCTGAGCCAACCCGAATGCATAAACATCAGGGCTGGGGAGACCGAGGCGGCCGGGCACAGTGCTGGAAACACCACCCACTCATAGGTGCGCCTTGTCGGCTTAGTAGGTGATCGCTAATGGCACTTTGCCCAACAGCCTGAGTAGGCTATACAGGGGATCTTTGTATTCTGTGTGTTGTGTGTGCGTCAGGCCATATACGGCGAGCGGTGGCGCAATGGTTAGCACGCCGCGCTACGAACCCGGCAGCCCAAGTTCAATTTCCGCTCATGGCCAACATCGATGACGAATATCTGACCCGGTCCCGGACTTCCCAGAGGTCGTCGCGACCTCAAACGAGTACCCGGTGCGGTGCGTCAACATCAGAACTGGGGAAACAAAGGCGGCCGGGCGTGGTGCTGCACCCCCACCACCCCCCACGTGCGCCGTACCGGCCTTCACAGGACGCCGCTTGCTGACGGCACTTGCCCCCACAGTCTGTTAAGGCTACACGGCGGGGACCTTTGTCTGTGTGCGTCAGGCCGTACGTGCGCGCCGTGCTCGTGGGCCTGCTGCACCGCGCCTGCGCCGTGCGGCGTCGCGCGCTGCAGACGACGAGGAAGCTGCTGTCATCGGCGGGCGGCATGGGCCTGGCGCACGGCCTTCTGGGAGAGCTCAAGCTCGTCCTCGCTGGGCACAAGGTGAGACGGTGCGGGCGGCGGCGATGGCGGCGGCCGTGACGTTGTGGTGGTGGTGGTGATGGTGGATTCATTGGCAGTGATGGTGGCTGTGATGGTGGTGGCGGTTCAGACATTGTGAGCGATGGTGTCGGTCGTGCCGGTGATAACAATGACCCGGTGTGTAAACTACCACCTTGCCCCGGCCAATCCTGAGTGAGAACGTTCGTTTATTTCCGTCGCAGCCTTCGAGACAGCGCCGCCTTCGTTAACCGCCACGGTGGCTAGGAGATGTTAACTACGTTGCCTGGCATGCAGGAGGTCGTGGGTTCGATCCCAACCCTGAGGCCTCTATATTAGCAAACTGCATTTAGAATCAACTTGTGTTATTTGGCTGATATAATTTGTCCACACAATCAGCCACTTTTTTGAGCCATCATTTGGGGCCAGGTCCCTTCTGAAAAAGAGCTCTACAGCTCGGTGGGCTTTACCTGGCAAAATAGAATAGTTTAGTAGTTTGCTAGTTTAACCCCCTACCGCCCCCCCACCCCCCCAAGGTGGTGGCGCCCGAGCTGCTGGTGAACGAGGCAGGGGAGCCCACGGACTTGGGCCGCTCGTACGCGGCGCCGCGCCTCCTCGCCGGCGCCCTGTGGGCCGTCACGGCCACGGCGCCGCCACCGCACGGCGCAGCGGCAGCGGCGGAGACGGAGGCGCTGGCCCAGGACGCGCTCCTGCCGGCGCACCACCCGTCCGTGGGTGAGCCCCCCGGGGCGGATTGGGGGGGGGGGGCTCTTGACCCCACGACCCCTTGGTCATGAGTGAGTGATGGGGCACGATCTTACGACCCTTGCGCTGGGAGTGTGTTCACTTGGGAGTGAGGAGCGGCCATGTGATGGTGAGTCCACCACGCTGTGAGTGCGAAGGTTGATTACCGGCCATGGCTAACAGCGGTGGTCGAACCGATCCTTGACTTTCCCTTGGTTGATCCGGCCTTCCCATTGCTGATGTATAAAGATCACAACTAGGAAGACAAAGGCGGCCGGGCGTGGTGTTGGCCACCCACCCCCTCGTGGGCCGTTCCGGCCTTCATAGGTGCTGCTCGCTAACAGCACTTGCCCCGACAGTCTGGTGAGGCTACACGGGGGATCTTTGTCTTTGTTGAACGTGTGTGTGGCACCGGCAGTGTCGGTGAGGCCCGGCCTGTGGCTGGCGCTGCTTGCGCGCTGGGGCCTGAACGCGCCGCGGCTGGTGGCCAAACTCGGCCCCAAGCTCCTGCCGGGCCTACTGGCCACGCCTGACGCCAGCCCGGTGAGACGGACCATACCGCTCACTCGCCACCACTTGCCTGCACTCGCCACCACTTGCCTGCACTCGCCACCGGCCGCCACACTCTCCGCCGCTCGCCGCCGCTCGCCTCCACTCACCATCACTCACCATCACTCACCATCACTCACTTATTCACCACCACTCACCACCACCTTACTCCACTTATCACTCACCTTTACTCACCAACACGCATCGTTACTCGCCGACGCTCAACAACACTCACCTAGAGCTCATCGTCACCGACCACCACTCACCTGCACTCATCACCACTCGCTGCTGCTGCTGCTTCAGCTGTTGATTGTGTTGTTTTTGTTGCTTATCGTGTTGCGCGGCGCCAGGCGGCGCTGCAGGCGGTGGTGACGTTGGTGGGGGTCGCCCCCCGTCCCATGCTGCCCCCCGTGGTGGGGCACGTGCGGGCGGCGCTCTCCGAGCCGGCGCTGCTGCAGGTGACGCGCGACGACGCGGCCGTGATGCGGACCCCGCCCGGAACACTGTGGGACCGCTCGGTCATCGACAGGTGAGCCTCGCCGGGAGCGTGCCAGAGGTCTGGACGCGGTCCCCAATACCGGTGAGCTCTTACGACAGGCGAGGAGGCTGCGTTGGCCGGGTCGTGTCTCCCGCATGCCCGGACTCCGCTTGCTGCCCAAGCAGCTTCTGTTTGACCGAATAGAGGGGGATAAATGAGCACGGCGTGGGCTGGAGGAGAGACGGACTGATGTGGTACAGGAGGATGTGGAGCTGAGCGGGCTTGCCGATGACCGGGCACCAGCGATGTCAAGGTTGGCCTCTGGTGGAGGTGGCTCATGAAGGATGCAACTGAGCAATGCCAGGCTAGGTGCAATTTGAGGCTACTGGGCAGCTGGAGGCAGTCACCCTCCCAACAACAGCGAGGAGCGGAGGGGCGCGGGGCGGCTAAAACTCCGCAGGCTGTCACAGTGAGGAGCACCGGTGGTGCATCTGTCGATCATCCGAGTCAACTCCTGGCACCTGGGTCTGTTCTTTGACCTACCCGCAGCGACCCCTCAACACTTGGCGTGGCCTCAAAGTGCACCTAGCCTGGTACAAACGCCGTGGTGACGTCTCCGTCATTTAATGGCCAATGGCGGCGGTTGTTATTGTATTGTGCCTGTGTGCGCACCCACGTGTGGGAGCGGTGGCGCAGCAGTTAGCTACAAACCGGGCGATTGGCGCTCAAGCGAAGGACCTCGTACGCGGTGTGTAAACATCAGCACCGGGGGAGACATTGGCGGTCCGGGTGTCGTGTTGGCCACCCACCCCTCGTTAGGTTTTGCTGTGCCGTAGACGCCGCTCGTGAACGGCGCTGACACCAACAATCTGGTGAAGGCGACACGGGGGGGGGGGGGGGGGGGGGGGATCTTTTATCAGCGTGCGCCGCGTTCCGTCTCCATGCAGCAGCAAGAAGGAGGCGTCGGGGAAGCGCTCGGGGAACATGAAGAGGGAGAACAAGGCCTACTCGTACCAGGAGCAGATCCTGGAGCTCGAGATCAAGGAGGTAACGTTGTCCTCGTCATCATCGTTGTCGTCGTCATCGTCGTCGTCATCGTCGTCGTCATCGTTGTCGTCATCGTTGTCGCTGCCACCTCCCGCTGCCGGGCCCAGGCTTGTGGACAGCAGCGGCGGTGGCGTGCGATACTGGAGAAATCCGATGAGCTATGAAGCTCTTTTTCTCAGACGTCGAGGAGAAGGTGGTACAGCAGAACTGTGGACCGTTCACCTGCTCCGTCCGTATGGGAGCGAGTGTTTCCTCCTCGCACGCGTGGGCTTTCCCCGGATGCTCGGGTTTCCTCAATTGGCCGATACAACTTTCATATGTAGAGGACCGCAGAGCTTGGGCGCTGGCCCACCGCGTGGCTGCCTTCCTTGCTTGTCCGTGGTTTATCCTCGCACCTCACGGGTCATTCTGTAAACTAAACTATTACCAGGTAAGGCCCGTTGCTACGTAAGCTCTTTTTCGGAAGCGACACAAATGATAGCCCAACAAAGTGGGTATTAATAGCAGCAGCCAAACACTCTAAACATGTGATGTTGATAATGTGTAGAGAAAAACCAGAGGACCCGGAGAAAAATCCACGCGACCATGGGGAAAGAGAGACGCCACAATCCTGTATACCAGGCGAGGGAGTAAGCATCTCGCCACCGTGTTGCCCATTCTGTCTCTACGAGAGCCAGCGAATGCTGTGCGGCACGGTGCAAGTTGAAATTATTATTATTATTATGCATATTTTATACCCCGGGGGAAAGCCTCGCTTCCTGTCAGAGAAGGTCCCGGCAGGTTTTGGCAACGATTGCTTTGTGCAACCCCAGTTGAGTAATTTTGTATAGAGATGGAGGAGGGAGGGGGGTGGCGGGGGAGGCCCGTCCCCCCGCACAGGTGGCCCCCCCCATGACCCCCTCCACCCCCCCCCCGCCACGGCGCCGCGTGCAGGAGCTGAAGAAGAAGAAGAAAGGCGGAGGAGGCGGCGGCAAGGACGCCGCCCCGCAGCTCACGGCCAAGCAGCAGGAGATGGTGGAGGAGCAGCTGAAGAAGGAGGCGGAGACGCGTGCACGCCTGCAGCAGGTCAGGCTCCGGGGGGGCAGCAGGTCGGGCTCCGGGGGGGCAGCAGGTCGGGCTCCAGGGGGGCAGCGGGGGGGGGGGGTCGCTGTGGGCCGGGCTCGATCTCCCGAGAGCCGGAGGGTGCATGATGTCCCCATTGCCGTGCCCGAGTTGTCTCCGCGTCGACCCCTCACCCCCTCACCCCCACGGTGATTGTGGAGGAGTTATCGCAATTGGGGAATCCATTCAACGATCGGTTCCTCATTCCTTTTCAAGCCGCCTGTGTTACGGCTCGCACGGGGACGCATGCGCGTGTCCCTGTGCGTGCGTGTAAGTGCGCGTGTCCCTGTGCGTGCGTGTAAGTGCGCGTGTCACTGTGTGTCCGTGTAAGTGCGCGTGTCCCTGTGCGTGCGTGTAAGTGCGCGTGTCCCTGTGTGTCCGTGTAAGTGCGCGTGTCCCTGTGCGTGCGTGTAAGTGCGCGTGTCCCTGCGTGTCCGTGCGTGTGCGAACCGGGCGTGGTGCTGGCCCCTCGCCCCCCTCGTGCGCCGTGCCGGCCTCCACGGATGCTATTCACTAACGGCACTCGGCCCAACGGTTTGTTCAGGCTGCACGGGGGATCTTTGTCTTTGTGTGACTCGGCACAGATGGACAAGCGTCTGGCGTCGGCGCTGGCGCTGCTGGGGGCGATGGTGCGGGCGCGGTCTCCGAGGCTCGCGTGCCACGCGGCGCCGCTCGTCGCTGTGCTCACTCCGCTGCTGGCCTCCCCGCTCGCGGCGCCGCGAGCCCTCGACACGCTGCTCTCCCTGCCGCAGCTGCTCATGCCGCCCGAGCACGCCCAGCTCGGTGCGTGCTTGAGTGCGTGTGTGTATGTGTGTATGTGTATGTTTGGTCGTGTGTGCGTGCGTACATGTGTGTGCGTGCACGCACGTGTGCGTGCGTACATGTGTGTGCGTGCGTACATGTGTGTGCGTGCACGCACGTGTGCATGCACTCGTGTGTTCGTGTGCGTATGTATGCACGCGTGCGCGTGTCTGCGTGCATGCATGCACGCACGTGTGTGTTTATTCGTGTGTGCATGCGTGTATGTGTGTGTGTGCTCGCTAACAGCACTTGCCCCAAAAGTTTGTTAAGTCTAAACGACGGGGCTCTTTGTCTGTGTGTGCAGGCGAGGTGCTGGGCTACGTGACGATGCGGCTGCTCGTCCCCGAGTGCGAGGTGCCCGCCGCCTGGTGCCAGGAGCCGCTGAGCGACGCCGCTGAGAGGGTCGTGGCGGCGCTCTACGCGCTGACCGTGTCCGGTGGGAGCGCTCACCCAACCACGCACTCGCTCAGCCGCTCATCTACCCTCTCGCTCACCCACCCACGCACTCGCTCAGCCGCTTATCCACCCTCTTGCTCACCCACTAACGTACCCAATCGCTCATCCGTTCATCCACCCTCTCGCTCACCCACCCACGCACTCGCTCATCCGCTCATCCACCCTCTCGCTCACTCACTAACATACTCAATCGCTCATCCGTTCATCCACCCTCTCGCTCACCCACTAACATACTCAATCGCTCATCCGCTCATCCACTCGCTTGCTCACAACTAACTCTTCTATGCAGCCACTCGTTCACCTGCTCCCATATTCAACCACTTGCCCACTCACTCTCTCCCTCGCTCGTCCTATCATTGTCTAATCATCGGGCGTTGTCGTGCCCTCTCTTGGGGTCTCGTTGTGGTGTGTCGTGTACTCGCTCATCGTGTCTGACCTCATATCCCATCATTGCATCTCTTTGCATCTCGTTACGTGTTTTTTATTCTTTTCGCGACTCATCGCCGCATCCCATCGTGTTGTCTCGTCTCATCGTTGCATTCCACCAACACGCCGTCCCATCTCACCGTCCCATCTCACCATCCCGTCTCACCGTCCCGTCTCACCATCCCGTCTCACCGTCCCGTCTCACCGTCCCGTCTCACCATCTCACCATCCCGTCTCACCGTCCCGTCTCACCGTCCCGTCTCACCGTCCCGTCTCACCGTCCCGTCTCACCATCTCACCGTCCCGTCTCACCGTCCCGTCTCACCGTCCCGTCTCACCATCCCGTCTCACCGTCCCGTCTCACCGTCCCGTCTCACCATCCCACCGTCCCGTCTCACCGTCGCGTCTCACCATCTCAGCGTCCCGTCTCACCATCCCGTCTCACCGTCCCGTCTCACCGTCCCGTCTCACCATCTCACCGTCCCGTCTCACCGTCGCGTCTCACCATCTCACCGTCCCGTCTCACCGTCCCGTCTCACCGTCCCGTCTCACCGTCCCGTCTCACCGTCCCGTCTCAGCATCTCACCATCTCACGGTTCCATCTCACCGTCCCGTCTCACCGTCTCACCGTCCCATCTCACCATCTCACCGTCCCGTCTCACCGTCGCGTCTCACCATCTCACATCCCGTCTCACACCATCTCACCGTCCCGTCTCACCGTCCCGTCCTCACTCCGTCTACCGTCCGTTTCTCACGGTCCCGTCTCACCGTCTCACCGTCCCGTCTCACCATCTCACCGTCCCGTCTCACCGTCCCGTCTCACCATCTCACCATCTCACCATCTCACCATCTCACCGTCTCACCGTCCCGTCTCACCATCTCACCGTCCCGTCTCACCATCTCACCGTTCCGTCTCACCGTCCCGTCTCACCATCTCACCGTCCCGTCTCACCATCTCACCATCTCACCGTCCCGTCTCACCATCTCACCGTTCCGTCTCACCGTCCCGTCTCACCATCTCACCGTCCCGTCTCACCATCTCACCATCTCACCGTCTCACCGTCGCGTCCCGTTATCGTGCCGTCCTGTCGCAGGCCCCGGGCCGCTCCCTGCGCCGGCCTTCGCGCTGGCGTTCCCGCTGCTGCGCACGCTGCTGCTGCCGGCGCCGGCGTGCGACGTGTCGGAGGAGACGCGCGTCGCCGCGCTGCTCGTCATGGCCGCGCACGCGCAGCTGCGCTCGCGCCAGCAGCAGCGCCAGCAGCAGGACGAGGAGGAGGACGAGGAGAAGGGAGAGGAGGAGGAGGAAATAGACGAGGTGACGGCAAGTGCTGGCGGGGCATTGTAAGACGACCGGCGGCGATAGAAGAGGTGGTTGAGAGGCCAAGAGGGTTGAGCCGGCACCGCGTGCGGGGCGCCACTGGCTAGGAGATGTTAACTCCCTCGCCTGGTGTGCAGGAGGTCCTGGGTTCCATCACGACCCTGAGGCCTACTGCTGCTGCTGTATTATCGGAGTCTGCGTGTTCTCCTTGTAGTCGTGTTGATGTTTCTCTGTGTGCTCCGGTTTTTCCCTTTCCACGTTGAGAATCGGCGTCACGCGTTTCCAGTATTTGGCTGCCACTTGATTGGGCTGTCATCTGTGGCCACGTTGCTTCTGGAAAAGAGCCACATCGCTCCGTGGGCTTGACTTGGATACAAATAAGTGTTTTTATTTACCACGGGTTCTTAGCCGGGTTTTGGCCACTCCTGATTGAACCGAGTTCTCAAGTGTGGCAAGTCAAGCCCAGTCATTGACGAATGCAATAAATATGAATATTAATAATTCACCTCTATCCAGCTCACAGAGGCTTTGGTCTAACACTTCATGAGCACGGCTTGCTTGGTCAGTGTTGGCAAAGAGAGGCCTCTTGGAGGGACTGTGCTCATTTTGCTGGCACAGGGGAGTGCACTACTTGCTGGCGGAATTCCATTTCAGAAATGTCTTCGTCCGATAAATAATAAAATAAAGACATCCATGAGCACTTCAGCGGCTAGCACAGACTGAGCAAACTAAATTGCAACCGTGCGCAAAATAGTGAGCAGCCGTTTCACAATGGGGGGGAACCCTAATGAACCCCGAAACGCCTCCACCGCAACGCTGCGCTGTGACGCTCTGCAATGTGACGCTCTGCGCTGTGATGCTCTGCGCCGTGACGCTCTGCGATGTGACGCTCTGCGCTGTTTCAGAACGGACCGGAGCTGCTTCCCAGGAAGGACATGATGCTGCTGCTGACCTCGCTGGTTGCCACGGCGTCGCCACGGCTACAGGTGACGAACGGTCGCCCGGGGTTACGGCAACGCTGCCGCTGGGAAAACCCGGCACGGGGAAGGTGGCGGAGCCCATGGGGAGATCTGCGGTATCACCGCGCTACGAGGGTCGAACGGCCCCCCCAGTTCGCTCGCGATCCTGCGCTTGTAATCGGTGGAACGTGTTCTCTCTCGGGAGTCATCGATTCCTCCGTGTCGCCGCTCCTCGTTGATGGTTGATCTGCGTGTTGCCGCCGCAGGTGACGGCCGCGTCGGCGCTGACGGCGCTGTGCACCAGTGCGAGCGGGAACCCTGGCTGCGCTTGCGCCGAGCAGGCCGAGGTGGAGGTGCTGCTCGCGGCGCTGCTGTCCCCGTGCACGGCGCTGCGCGACGCCGCGCTGCGGGTGAGCCGGGCGCGGAGACTCGCAGACACGGAGACGCAGAGACTCGTAGATGCGGAGATGCAGAGACTCGCAGACGCGGAAGCGTAGAGATGCAGACACGCAGGGACGCAGAGAAATGCAAACATGCATAGCCACAGGCACACAGACACAGAGACACAGAGACACAGACGCAGAGACATAAAGACAACGGAGAGATCCTGCGTGTCCCTGCTGCGAGCGCCATGTGTATGTACGTGGAACTTCTTTCGCACCGTACGTGGCCAACCGTGCTGACGGAGGCGTTGGCTGTGCTGCCGGCAGGGTCTGCTGGAGCTGGAGCTGGTGCTGCCCACGCCCGACGGGGGCGAGGGCGAGGCGGGCGTGCACGTGCTGCGCCGCGTCTGGCTCGCGCGCTTCGACCCCGAGGAGGAGAACGGCAAACTCGCCCACGGGTGGGTGCCGCCCGGCGGGGCCACGTCGGGCCCACGGGGCGAGTGGCGGAACGAGCGGCCTGTGGACCGCCAAGCGATGAGGCGGGCAGACGAATAATAACACGGCAATGACCCTCCATGAAGCAGGGGGATGTCGGTGCCTCTGTCTGTTTCACTGTACCTCTCCCTCCCATCTGTGTTCGTCTCTCACTCCCTCTCTCTCTCTCTCCCTGCCCCTCTCCCCCTGCCCCTCTCTCCCTGCCCCCCTCTCCCTGCCCCCCTCTCCCTGCCCCTCTCTCCCTGCCCCCCTCTCCCTGCCCCTCTCTCCCTGCCCCTCTCTCCCTGCCCCTCTCTCCCTGCCCCCCTCTCCCTGCCCCCCTCCCTGCCCCTCTCCCCCCTGCCCCTCTCTCCCTGCCCCCCTCTCCCTGCCCCCCCTCCCTGCCCCCCTCTCCCTGCCCCCCTCTCCCTGCCCCTCTCCCTCCCCCCTCTCTCCCTGCCCCTCTCCCCCTGCCCTCTCTCCCTGCCCCCCTCTCCCTGCCCCTCTCCCCCTGCCCTCTCTCCTGCCCCCCTCTCCCTGCCCCTCTCCCCTGCCCTCTCTCCCTGCCCCCCTCTCCCTGCCCCCCTCCCCCCCTCCCCCCTCCCCTGCCCCTCTCCCCCTGCCCCTCTCTCCCTGCCCCTCTCCCTGCCCCTGTCTCCCTGCCCCCGTCTCTCACTGCCCCTCTCCCTGCCCCTCTCTCCCTGCCCCTCTCCCCCTGCCCCTCCTCCCTGCTCCACTCTCCCTGCTCCACTCTCCCTGCTCCACTCTCCCTGCTCCACTCTCCCTGCTCCACTCTCCCTGCTCCACTCTCCCTGCTCCACTCTCCCTGCTCCACTCTCCCTGCTCCACTCTCCCTGCCCCACTCTCCCTGCCCCTCTCCCCCTGCCCCTCTCTCCCTGCCCCCCTCTCCCTGCCCCACTCTCCCTGCTCCCCTCTCCCTGCCCCACTCTCCCTGCTCCACTCTCCCTGCTCCACTCTCCCTGCTCCACTCTCCCTGCTCCACTCTCCCTGCCCCCCTCTCCCTGCCCCTCTCCCCCTGCCCCTCTCCCCCTGCCCCTCTCCCCCTGCCCCTCTCTCCCTGCCCCTCTCTCCCTGCCCCTGTCTCCCTGCCCCCGTCTCTCACTGCCCCTCTCCCTGCCCCTCTCTCCCTGCCCCCCTCTACTCCTCTCCCTTCCCCTCCCCCTCTCTCTGCGCCGTGTCTCTGCGCCTGCCGTGCAGGCTGTGGGAGGCGCTGGGCCTGGAGCTGCAGCCGGCGCTCTGCTCGCTGCTGCTGCGCGACGTCCTGTCGCACGTGGAGGCGGTGCGCGTCGCCGGCGCCGCCGCCCTGGCCGCCGCCCTCGAGCCGTACCCCGAGCTGGCGCCGGACGTGCTCGGCCAGCTCCGCACGCTCTACCAGGAGAAGCTCTACGTGAGCAGCGGCGCCGCGGCCTCTACCCGCACTCCGGCGCTCGCCCCCCCCCCTCCCTCGCTCCCTCCCTCGCTCCGTCCCTCGCTCCGTCCCTCCCTCCCCCTCGCTCCGGTCCCACGCTCCGTCCCTCGCTGCCTCCCTCCCTCCAGATGAAAGAGGTGGGGGCTTTGAGTGCCCCGTAGAGGTCGGTGTGGGCTGAACGCTGCCGGTGCTGGTGACGTGCAGCAGCAGCAGCAGCAGCGGCAGCAGTGGGGGTCTTGATGATCGTCGTGTTCCGGACGGCGGCTGCTGTGGAGAAACAGTGACCACGGTCCTGGTCCTTGGTGTAGAGTTGCACCCCGAGCCATAATGCAGGGTGACAGGAGCTGTAGTGCAGGGTGACAGGAGCTGTAGCGCAAGGTGACAGGAGCTGTAGTACAGGGTGACAGGAGCTGTGGTGCAGGGTGACAGGAGCTGTAGTGCTGGGTGACAGGAGCTGTAGTGCTGGGTGACAGGAGCTGTGGTGCAGGGGGTGACAGGAGCTGTGGTGCAGGGTGACAGGAGCTGTGGTGCAGGGTGACAGGAGCTGTAGTGCTGGGTGACAGGAGCTGTGGTGCAGGGGGTGACAGGAGCTGTGGTGCAGGGTGACAGGAGCTGTGGTGCAGGGTGACAGGAGCTGTAGTGCTGGGTGACAGGAGCTGTGGTGCAGGGGGTGACAGGAGCTGTGGTGCAGGGTGACAGGAGCTGTGGTGCAGGGGGTGACAGGAGCTGTGGTGCAGGGTGACAGGAGCTGTAGTGCAGGGTGACAGGAGCTGTGGTGCAGGGTGACAGGGGCTGTGGTGCAGGGTGACAGGGGCTGTGGTGCAGGGTGACAGGAGCTGTGGTGCAGGGTGACAGGAGCTGTGGTGCAGGGTGACAGGAGCTGTAGTGCAGGGTGACAGGGGCTGTGGTGCAGGGTGACAGGGGCTGTGGTGCAGGGTGACAGGAGCTGTGGTGCAGGGTGACAGGGGCTGTGGTGCAGGGTGACAGGAGCTGTGGTGCAGGGTGACAGGAGCTGTGGTGCAGGGTGACAGGAGCTGTAGTGCAGGGTGACAGGGGCTGTGGTGCAGGGTGACAGGAGCTGTGGTGCAGGGTGACAGGAGCTGTGGTGCAGGGTGACAGGGGCTGTGGTGCAGGGTGACAGGAGCTGTGGTGCAGGGTGACAGGAGCTGTGGTGCAGGGTGACAGGAGCTGTGGTGCAGGGTGACAGGGCTGTGGTGCAGGGTGACAGGAGCTGTGGTGCAGGGTGACAGGGGCTGTGGTGCAGGGAGAGAGGAGCGATTCAGGGGACGGCCGAGAGTAGAGGCGGCGGTGGTGGCGCAGGCAGCAGGGGATGTTGTTGTTGACCTGCTGCTGCTACTGCTGCTGCTGGTGGTGGTGGTGGGAAGCCAGTGGGGGAGGGAGGTGAGGGAGCTGAGGGGGACTCAAGCCGGCGGGCTTCAGGTACGGCACGACCGCAGCGGGAGTGACAGGCGGCGCAAGTGGAACGTGACGCCCTCACCGACTCGCGCCCTCCCCCGTCCCCTCCCCGGCAGCGAGCGCCGCCCGTGCTGGACGGGCTGGGCCGCGTGGTGACCGAGTCCCCGCCCGACAAATGGGAGGCGCGCTGCGGCGTGGCGCTGGCGCTGGCGGCCGTGGCCGGCTCGCTGGGCGGCGAGCGCGTCACGCCGCTCTTCCGCTTCTTCGTGCCCGAGGCGCTGGGCGACCGGCACGCCGAGGTGCGGCGCCGCATGCTGGACGCAGCGCTCGCCGCGCTCAACCACCATGGCAAGGTGCGGGCGTGTGCGTGTGCTTGTCCGTGCGCGTGTGTCCGTGCGGGCATGTGCTTGTCCGTGCGTGTGTGTCCGTGTGGGCGTGTGCGTGTGCTTGTCCGTGCGTGTGTGTCCGTGCGTGCGTGTGTGTCCGTGCGTGTGTGTCCTTGCGTGCGTGTGTGTGTGCGCGTGTTTGTCAGAGGTGCTATACGGTGAGTGAGTGAGAGGGTGAGCACATGGAAGATAGGGTGGGTTTATGAGTGGGTGGGTGGGTGGGGTGGTGGGTGGGTGGGTGGGTGAGTGGGTGGGTGGGTGGGTGGGTGAGTGGGGTGGGTGAGTGGGTGGGTGGGTGGGTGGGTGGGTGAGTGGGTGGGTGGGTGAGTGGGTGGGGTGGTGAGTGGGTGGGTGGGTGGGTGGGTGAGGTGGGTGGGTGGGTGAGTGGGTGGGTGGGTGGGTGGGTGAGTGGGTGGGTGGGTGGGTGGGTGAGTGGGTGGGTGGGGTGGGTGGGTGGGTGGGTGGGTGGGTGGGTAGGCTACATGGGGGATCTGTGTGCATGCGTGAGCAGGAGTGCGTGAACGAGCTCCTGCCGCTGCTGGAGGATTCGCTGCGCGACTCTCCGGACGACGCGAGCTACGACGCAGTGCGGCAGGGCGTCGTTATCCTCATGGGGTCGCTCGCCAAGCATCTGGACCGCAGCGACCCCAAGGTCAAGCCCATCGTGGCCAAGCTGGTCGCAGCGCTCTCCACGCCTTCGCAGCAGGTGACCTGCAACCACACTCACTCACACACAGGCGCCTTGACATACACAAATGTCGCCGACTCTTCCACTGATCCACCCACTCGCACACCCACTCGCACAGCCACTCGCACACCCACTCGCACACCCACTCGCACACCCACTCGCACACCCACTCGCACACCCACTCGCACACCCACTCGCACACCCACTCGCACAGCCACTCGCACAGCCACTCGCACAGCCACTCGCACAGCCACTCGCACAGCCACTCGCACAGCCACTCGCACAGCCACTCGCACAGCCACTCGCACAGCCACTCGCACAGCCACTCGCACAGCCACTCAAACATCGCACACCGACGCACACACCTCCACAAACAACTAGCTACACGCAGACCCACGTACTCGCACAACAACAAACAAAGATAGAGATCCCCATATAGCCTTAAATTGACTTTTGGGCAAGTGAGCACCACTCACACACCCACTCGATCAACCACGCCCTGTGCCCCCCTCGCTGACTCTGCGTGCCGTGCCCCCCTCTCGCCCTCCCCTCTCTCGCCCCCCCCCCCCACAGGTGCAGGAGTCGGTGGCGAACTGCCTGGCGCCGCTGGTGCCGGCGATGCGCGAGGACGCGCCGGCGATGGCGCGCCACCTCATGGCGCTGCTGCTGGAGGCGGAGAGCTACGGGGAGCGGCGGGGCGCGGCCCACGGCCTGGCGGGCCTCGTGCGCGGCCTTGGCATCCTGGCGCTCAAGCAGCTGGACGTCATGTCCACCCTCACCGACGCCATCCAGGACAAGAAGCACTACCGCCGCCGCGAGGGTGAGAAGCCGGAGCCCGTGGGCGGCTGGGTGTGTGGTGGTGTGGTGCAGTGAGTGGGTTGGTGGGTGGCAGAGTGGGTGAGTTACGTGGCGATTCGGTAGTGTGGATGGGTTTGTGAGTGAGAGCATGGGTGAGTTGGTGGGGTGTGGGTGAGTGGTTGATGAACCCGATGTGAGAGTGAACAGGTGTGTGGGTTTGGGTGAGTGTTGAGGTGCGTGTACCCTGCCCTTCACCCTGCCCTTCACCCTGCCCTCTCCTGTGCCCTACCCCGCGTGGCACAGGCGCGCTCTTCGGCTTTGAGATGCTGTGCAGCATGCTGGGCCGGCTGTTTGAGCCGTACGTGGTGCACGCCCTGCCGCACCTGCTGCTGTGCCTGGGCGACGGGAACCAGTACGTGCGGGAGGTGAGTGCACGCGCGGCTTGTCCACAGCTCTCGCCCGCAGGCGCCTGCTGGCAGCTACGTGTGGGGGGGGGGTCTTTGTCTGTGTGTGTGTGACTCTGTGTCTGTGTGTGACTCTGTGTCTGTGTGTGACTCTGTGCATGTGTGACACTTCACGTGGCCTCAACTTGCACATGGCCTGGCACAAGCGTCGCGGTGATGTAGTGTTGGGGTTCGCGCTCTGCGCTATGAACCCGGCGACCCGAGTCCGATTCCCGCTCACGGCCAACACTGGTGACGATTATCTCCCCTAGGTCAACTCGGTCTCAAATGAACACCTGGGCGTGGTGTGTAAACGTCGCCACTGGGGAGCCCCCCCCCCCCACCTCGTGTGCCGTGAAGGCTGGACGGGGCGGGGGATCTTTGTAGTGCCGCTCGTCTGTGCGGGACGCCACTAACACAACCACGGCCCTCCCCCCGCGTGCTCCCCCCCCCCCCACGTGCCCCCTCCCCCCGCGTGCTCCCCCCCCCCACGTGCCCCCTTCCCCCGCGTGCTCCCCCCCCCCACGTGCCCCCTCCCCCCGCGTGCTCCCCCCCCCCCCCCACGTGCCCCCTTCCCCGCGTGCTCCCCCCCCCCACGTGCCCCCTCCCCCGCGTGCTCCCCCCCCCCACGTGCCCCCTCCCCCCGCGTGCTCCCCCCCCCCACGTGCCCCTCCCCCCGCGTGCTCCCCCCCCCCACGTGCCCCCTCCCCCCGCGTGCTCCCCCCCCCCCACGTGCCCCCTTCCCCCGCGTGCTCCCCCCCCCCACGTGCCCCCTCCCCCCGCGTGCTCCCCCCCCCCCACGTGCCCCCTCCCCCCTCGTGCTCCCCCCCCCCCCCCCCACGTGCCCCCTCCTCCTGCGCGCCACCCCAGGCGGCCGAGGAGACGGCGAAGGCCGTGATGCGGAACCTGAGCACGCACGGCGTGAAGCTCGTGCTGCCCTCGCTGCTCGCCGCCCTGGAGGAGGACTCGTGGAGAACCAAGACGGGTGGGCTCGCCGCTCGCCGCTCGCGCTCACCGCTCACCGCTCACCGCTCACCGCTCACTCGTCACCACACCTCCACCGCTCATCGTCACGCCTCATTGCTCGCCGCTCGCTCGCCACTCACTCGCTCGCGCTCACCACTCACTCGTCACCACACCTCCACCGCTCATCGTCACGCCTCATTGCTCGCCGCTCGCTCGCCACTCACTCGCTCGCGCTCACCACTCACTCGTCACCACACCTCATCGCTCACTCACCACCACACCTCACTTCTCATTGTCACGCCCCACCATTCGCGATCTAACCCAAAAACCTCTTATGGATGATATTGGTCACGAAAGCCGACGTGTTAAACCCACCGTTCGCTCACCTTTCGCTCACCCCTCGCTCACCACCACCAGCACCACCACCACCCTGTGCGTGTGTGCAAATTTTTGCATGTGCTTGTGATCTCGCGTGTGTGTACAAGCACTTGCGTGGAGAGCGGTGGCTGCAATGGTTAGCTATGAACTCGGCGTTCAATTCCCACTCACGACCAATTACAGTGGGGAATATCTAATTCTGTGCCTGCCCTAGGTCGACTCAGCATTAAATGAGTACCTGGTGTGGTATGTAAACATCGCCACTGGGAAGACAAAGGCAGCCATGCATGGTGCTGGCCATACCACCCCCTCGTGGGCCGTTCCGATTATCATGGTTGAAAGAAGCGTACATACGTTCCCGGCCTTTATAGGTGTTACTCGTGAACAGCACTTGTCCCAACACTTTGTTAAGGCTATATGGGGAATCTTTGTCATTGTTTGCACCTTCTTATACACATGCACGCGCATGTCCACGTGCTCACTTGCAAGCGTGTACTTGTGCGTGCGTGTGTATACCTGTGCATGTATGTCTGTATGTATGTCTGTATGTATATGTGCGCAGGGATGTCCTCTGGCTCCAACATTATTTAACATCTATTTCGACCACGTAGTTCGTGAAGCTTTGAATAGCTGCACCGGAGGAATTTCCATCTGGTACAGATACAATGGGAGGCTGATCGATGCCCGGGTGCACGTCCGTGCGTGCGTATACCCGCGTGTATGTATGTATGCACGTGTGTCTGTGCGTGCGCCCGTAGGCTCGGTGGAACTGCTGGGCTCGATGGCGTACTGCGCTCCCAAGCAGCTGTCGGCGTGCCTGCCCAGCATCGTGCCCAAGCTCACGCAGGTGCTCACCGACTCGCACGTCAAGGTGCAGCAGGCCGGCCAGCAGGCGCTCAAGCTCATCAGCAGCGTCATCCGCAACCCCGAGATCCAGGGTGAGGGGACGTGGTGGGGACACGGGGACGGGGTGGGGACGTGGTGGGACGTGGTGGGGACGTGGTGGGGACATGGTGGGGACGTGGTGGGGACGGGGGGACGGAGACGCGACGGGTCGTGCTGCTGCTGCGAGACGCCTGCTGGACGACGTGTCCATCCGTGGGGTGGTGGTCCCCTGGCCAGATCAGTCGCCCTCACTCTGGAGGGAATTAGTTCTGATCGTTACAATAAAAACAACAACAATGCAATCTATAACGTGCACAAAATGAGTGGTCGTGCCACTCCCTGATTTCCGGTTTCCACCCCCCGTACCTTCCCTGTGTGCCCCCCGACTCCCCTCCTAACCTCCCCCCCCCCCCCCCCCCCACAAACCTGCCCCCCCCCCCACCCCCGTGTCGCGCGACAAACGGCGTTGCCGCTGCGCCAGCCATCACGCCGGTGATCCTGGAGGCGCTGACGGACCCGTCGCGCCAGGTGCACCGCTGCCTGCACACGCTGCTACAGACGCAGTTCGTGCACTTCATCGACGCGCCGTCGCTCGCCCTTATCATGCCCATCGTGCAGCGCGCCTTCCTCGACCGCTCCACCGACACGCGCAAGATGGCGGCGCAGATCATCGGCAACATGTACTCGCTCACCGACCAGAAGGTGTGCCGCCCGCGCCGCACAGCCACGGGGAGAGCGAGAGCCGGCGGGAGGGAGGGGGGGGAAAGGGGGAGGGAGGGGGAGGGAGAGTGAGAGAGAGGGAGTGAGAGAGAGGGACGGGCGCACGCGTATACACCGCCAGGTCTGGCGGACAAGCCGGCGCCTCACTCGAGCGATCAGTGGCATGCAACCATCTTCCTGCTGCTCCCTTCACGCGACCCAATCGGCCCCGTGTCCAGTGGGAAGGGGCGTAGCCTAAAGAGGAAGGCCCGGGGCCTAGTGATTAAACTTATTTGTTGCATTAATAGGAACATAAAACTGAATATGTGCGGCAGGCGGCGGTAGCAGAATAGCTTCAGTGGCACAGACGGCGCGGCAGGATGTCGCATGGTACCCTAACAATTGGGAGAGAATCGTGGTGAGCGGAGAGTTTCAGGCACCTACCCCTGCCGGCGACTCGGATATGGACGTTAGCGCGGAACCCTCGCCTGGTGTTGAACCTGACTCTTGCCCCCCCCACCCCGCCCCGCACGTCTGCAGGACCTGGCACCGTACCTGCCCAGCGTCATCCCGGGCCTCAAGACGTCGCTGCTTGACCCCGTCCCAGAGGTGAGGCCGCACGACTCCCAGTGCCAGGGGGCCCCACAGTTGCTAGGAGATGTTGACTCCCTCGCCTGGTACGCAGGAGTCCCTGGGTTCCATCCCGACCCTGACGCCTGCTGCTGCTGCTGCTTCTGCTGCTGTGTAGTTGGAGTTTGCGTGTTCTTCCAGTGGTCGCGTGGATTTTTCTCCTGGTTTTTTCCTCCACATTTAGAATCAACATCACCACGCGTTTAGAGTATTTGGCTGCTATACATTTCCACGTGATAAGCCACTTCGTTGAGCTATCATCTGTGGCCATGTTGCTTCTGAAAAAGAGCTGCATAGCCTCCGTGGTAAATTAAAAAGTTTCGTTTTTTCGATAAGTGGTGAACTCCAACAAGCCAAAAATTATTTGTAATGCCGCTTTACAAATCATTGTGCCTCTGCCGTTCTTAAAATATGGGTTACACAACGTGCTGTATTCACACGCATTGCGAGTCTCGAAATATCGAGTTTATTTTACCGAATTCAAAGAAAATTACTCTTGTTGCTATTTTGGTTGCTGACCCATGCCCTAAACCCAGAGACCAAAATCAAATGCTCCTGCATCTACCTGTACACTGCGTGCTGTGGGGTACCCGCTGTGTGTGCGTGGTACGTTTGTAAATGCGCACGTGCCGCTGTGTGTGTGTGTGTGTGGTACGTGCTTATATGTGCGTGCGTGCGTACGGGCTGTGTGTGTGTACAGTGTGTATGGCGTGTGTTCACACGGTGCCGGCGTGCGTCCTCGCGTCCCCCCCCCACCCCCCGGCAAGGTGCGTGCGGTGTCGGCCAAGGCGCTGGGCGCAATGGTGAAGGGCATGGGCGAGGAGAGCTTCGAGGACCTCATGCCCTGGCTCATGCAGACGCTCACCTCCGAGCAGAGCTCTGTGGACCGCTCCGGAGCCGCGCAGGGTGAGATGAGCAACTCGGAATTTGCTCGCCACATCGCTCGCTCGCTCATTTGCTCGCTCGCTCATTCGCTCGCTTGTTCAATGAAAGATCATTGGAGTGAATCTTTGTTGGGCTGGAAGTCCAGCACAGCACAAAACCAAAACGATACCAATTACGGGAAACCGATATCGTGATGGTCGTCATGACGTGAAAAAATCATATCGGGGCAGTACATGTGTATGCATGTTGAACTTCTTTCACATCATACATAGCCAAACGTGCTAATTGGAGGTGTAGTCACCGTGTATGATTGTGTGTGTGTGTGTGCGTGTGATCATAGTGTAGCAGAGCGGTAGTGTCGTGGTGAAGCACACTGTGCTTCAAACCTGGTGACCCAAGTTAAATTCCCACTCGACACCAGTGACGAATATCTGAACCGTTCCTGGGCTTCCCTTTGGTCGACACAGCCTCAAATGAGTACCTGGTGTGGTGTTTAAACATCGCCGGGCGTGGTGCCGGCCTTCATAGCTGGCTCTTGCTACAACAGCACTTGCCCCCCAACAGTCTATGTGGGTGGGGGGGGGGTATTTTGACGTGATGCGTGCGTGCCCGAGTGTGCTCACGAGCTCGCACGTGCCGTGCGGTCTATGCATCGTGCGCCCACGTGTGCGTACGTGCGTTTGTGTGTGTGCGCGTGCATCACCGTGCGTGCATCACCGTGCGTGCGTGCATCACCGTGCGTGTGCGTGCATCACCGTGCGTGCATCACCGTGCGTGCACAGGCCTCTCGGAGGTGCTGGTGAGCCTGGGCGTGGAGAAGCTCGACAAGCTGATGCCGGAGATCGTCGCCAATGCTTCCAAGGCCGACCTGGCACCGCACGTGCGCGACGGCTACATCATGATGTTCATATTCCTGCCCGCCACGTTCGGAGAGCGCTTCACCCCCTATGTGGGGCCCATCATCCCGGCCATCCTCAAGGTGAGAGGCACGGGGGAGGCACTCGCACGCGCGCGCTCGTGCACACGCACGCAGACACGCACAAAGACAACAATAGCCGCCGTTCGCCACTAAGTTTCAGGCCAGGTGCACTCCGAAGCCAAGTGAAGTGTTGAAGGCTCGCTGAGAGGAGGTCACGGGACAAACCAAGCCACCACGAGAAGACTGACTGACATGCACACACACACATGCACACACACAAATGCACACACACATGCACACGTGTTCATGGGTGACGGACGGAAGCAGGATGTGGTTTCTAGGGCACAGAGTGTGGTGTGCATCACGTCACGCGCACACGCTCGCAAAGACAAAGATCCCCTGTATAGCCTTTACAGACTGTTGGTGCAAGTGCTGTTAGCGAGTAGCAGCACCTATGAAGGCTGGCATGGCACACGAGGGGGGGTGGCCAGCACCGTGTCCGGCCGCCTTTGTCTCCCCAGTGGCCATGTCTACACATCGCACCAGGTACACATTTAAGGCTGAGTCGACCTAGGGTTACGTTAAGATCATGATTAGTGGGAGTGCTGACTAGTCTGGTTAGTGGTTGTGGTAGTGTCTGATTGGCTCGTGTGGTTATGGGTAGTACTAGTTATTAAGGACCATTGTCTCGTATTCACTCCGTGCATTGCGTCTCTGACTTTTACCGAAATCTAAAAAATGGCGTTTAATATCTCCCTCTCTTCTTTTCACCTTTTCTGCTGTTCCCAACGCCCCCCCCACAACCACCGCCGCTCCCCCCCGTCCCCCCGACCGCCGCTCCCCCGCGCAGGCGCTGGCCGACGAGAATGAGTTTGTGCGCGACACGGCGCTCCGCGCGGGTCAGCGCATCATCTCCACCTACGCGGAGAAGGCCATCACGCTGCTGCTGCCCCAGCTGGAGGACGGCCTCTTCAACGACAGCTGGCGCATCCGGTAGCGCAGCGCCGGCTAAACCGCCACCACGGACACTCGCCCACAGCGCCAGCTAAACCGCTAACACTGACACCGTCGCAGCAATACCAAACTCGTAGGCACCACAGCCCTGGGTCGCACACCGGCGCCGTTCCATTGCCTCGGCCGTAGCCGAGGCACCACCCTCACACCCGCCGCGAGCCGCCGTGAGCCGCCGCTGAGCCCCGCTGAGCCCCGCTGAGCCCCGCTGAGCGCCGTGTGCCGCCGTGAGCGCCGCTGAGCCCCGCTGAGCGCCGTGTGCGTGCCGTGTGCAGGTTCAGCTCCGTGCAGCTGCTGGGCGATCTGCTCTTCCACATCTCGGGCGTCTCGGGGAAGATGACGACCGAGACGGCGTCCGAGGACGACAATTTCGGCACCGTGCAGTCCACCAAGGTGTCCTGCTCCTCCCCACTCCGCCACACTCCCCAACGCTTTTCTTGCTCCCCGCACCTTCCTCCTGCTCCTCATACTCCTCCCCCCTCCCTCCCCGCTCTCTCCTCCTACTACACCCACAGCGCCAGCTAAACCGCTAACACTACACCCACAGCGCCAGCTAAACCGCTAACACTACACTTGGCCGTAGTATTGTGTTGCGTATGTTGAAGTGTGGCTGGGTGTTGTGGGTATGTGCGCGTGTTTGTATGTGTGGGTGTGTTTGAGTGTGTACGTGCGTGTATTTGAGGGTGTGTGTGTGTGGGTGCGTGCGAGTGTGTATTTGGGTGTGTACGTGTGTGCATGTGTGGAGTCAACACCGCTTCCCACGCACAGACACAGCACACACACCACGTTCTTGTCACCCCATCATCCTCCTTTTCCTGCCTCCCACCCGCCTAACCATATTCCATCCCTCCATCACCCCCCCCCCCCACTCTCCCCCCCCCCCCCCGCCCAGGCCATCATCTCGGCGCTGGGCCCCGAGCGCCGGAACCGCGTCCTCTCGGGCCTCTACATGGGCCGCTCGGACGTGGCGCTGGTGGTGCGCCAGGCGGCGCTGCACGTGTGGAAGGTGGTGGTGGCCAACACGCCGCGCACGCTGCGCGAGATCCTCCCCACGCTCTTCGGCCTGCTCCTCGGCTTCCTGGCCTCCACTAACTACGACAAGCGGCAGGTGCGGTGGTCACGCCGCTGCTGCTGCTGCTGGCGGCGGTGGCGGTGTTGGGGGCGGTAGTTGGGGGCAGTAGTTGGGGGCAGTAGTTGGGGGCGGTAGTTTGGGGCAGTAGTTGGGGGTGGTGATAGTTGGGTGGCGGTGGTGGTGGTGGTGGAAGTCGGGGGGTGGCGGTAGTTGGGGGACCGGCAGTGGCGGTAGTCGGGGGTGCCTGTGGCCGGGGGCGGTACGGGACGTATTCGCTGTCCTCCCTGTCGCCGTCATCGCAAACCTCGTGTCGTCGTCGCCGCCGCCGCGGTGTTGCCTGTGCGGGGCCGCAGATTGCGGCGCGCACGCTGGGGGACCTGGTGCGGAAGCTGGGGGAGAAGATCCTCCCCGAGATCATCCCCATCCTGGAGGCCGGCCTGTGCTCGGAGCACAGCGACGAGCGCCAGGGCGTGTGCATCGGCCTCAGCGAGATCATGCGCTCCACGAGCCGCGACGCGGTGACGCACGCACGCAGATACACCGGCACGCGCGCAGACACACGCACGTGGATACACACGCGTGGTTACGCCTTCGCATGTACACGGATACACGTGTGTGTGCATGCGTGTCACTTATTATTTTTGTGCGTATGCCTGCGTGTGTGCGTGCGGTGCGTGCGGTGCGTGCGCTCCACAGGTGCTGCTGTTTGCGGGCAGCCTGGTGCCCACGGTGCGGCGTGCGCTGTGCGACCCGCTGCCCGAGGTGCGCGAGGCGGCAGCGCGAACCTTCGAGCAGCTGCACACCACCGTGGGGCAGACGGCGCTCGACGACATCCTACCCAGCATGCTCCAGCAGCTGGTGCCGCCCCCCCCCTCCACCTCCCCCCCCCACCTCCCCCCCCCCACCTGCCCACAACACCACAAAGCAGCTCGCTGCTGCCACCAGCAGCTACGTGCCACCCCTAACCCCTCCACTACCTTGCCGCCGAAAACCCTCCCTCGCCACCACCACCACCACCAGCCGTGCGTGTGGTGTACGGGCGTGTGCACCGCGTGCGTGTGCATGCGGTGTGCGTGCTTGTGTGCGCGTATGCACGCACGCTTGTAGCGCATGTGGGTTGCGTGTGTGGCAACCACAAAGGCGGCCAGGCGTGCTGCTGGCCACCCGCCCCCTCGTGTGCCGTTCCGGCCTTCACAGGTGCTGCTACTCGCTAACAGCACAGTCTGTTCCGGCCATACGGGGGGGGGTGGGGGGGGATCTTTGTCGTTTTTTTTTATCGTGTGCGCGTACCTGCCTGCGCGTGTGGCGTGTACGTGCGTGTGTGGCGTGTACGTGCATGCGTGGCGTGTACGTGCATGTGTGGTGTGTGCGTGCGTGGCGTGTACGTGCATGTGTGTACGTGCATGTGTGGCGTGTATGTGCATGTCTGTACGTGCATGTGTGGCATGTACGTGCGTGTGTGTACGCGCGTGTGCACCCTTATCGACCCTCTCTCTGCCTCCACCGCGGACCCAGGATGACGAGGCGGTGTCGGAGTTTGCGCTCGATGGCCTCAAGCAGGTGATGGCCGTCAAGAGCCGCGTTGTGCTGCCCTACCTCATCCCCAAGGTGAGCGTTCACAACAACGACGACAATCGCTCGCCGCTAAGGGGCGGTGACGGCCTTAATAGGTGCTCGCTCACAGCACTTGCCCCAAATGTCCGTGTGGATGCACATGGGTGGCGCGTGTGTGTGGAGCGGTAGCGTAGCGGTTTTGCTCGCCGCGCTACAAACCTGGCGATTCCTGCTCATGGCCAACAATAGTGACGATTGTGAACTGGTCTTGGGCCTCCCCTAGGTCAACTTGGCCTCAAATGAGCACCTTGTGCGGAATGTAAAAATCACCACTGGGGAGACAAAGGCGGCTGGGTGTGGTGCTAGCCACAGGTGCTATTCGCTAGCAGGACACGGGCGCCACGGTGGCGGGATGTTAACTGCCTCACCTGGTCTACAGTGGGTTCCGTCCCGACCCTCACGCCTGTATGTTTGGAGTTTGCATGTTTCTCTCCCCGTGGCCGCGTGGATTTTCTCCGGATCCTCCGGTTTTTCCTCCACATTTAGAATCGACATGGATTTAGAGTATTTGGCTGCTATAAATCTCCACATGATGAGCCAGTTCGTTGAGTTATCATTTGTGGCCAGGTCGCTTCTGAAAAAGTCGGCCTTACCCGGTAAAATAAAAAGTTTCGTTTAGTACTTGCCCAGTCTGTTAAGGCTATACGGGGGATCTTTGTATTTGTGTCACGTACATGCGATCGCGCGCGTCCGTGTGTTCACCCACCTCAACCACCTCCCCTCTCTCCCCCTGTACCCCCCCCCCCCCCGTACCCCCCCCCCCCCCGCTCCAGCTCACCACGCCCCCCGTGAGCGTGCGTGTTCTGGCGTTCCTCTCGGCGGTCGCCGGCGATGCCCTGACGCGGCACCTGCCGGTGGTGCTCGCCGCTCTGCTCACCGCGCTGCGGGACGCCAGTGGGACGCCCGGGGAGCAGCAGGTGCCCTGCCTCACCCATCCACTCGCTCGCTCGCTCGCCCCACAGCTCGCTCGCCCACTCGCCCGCCCGCCCACTCACTTGCTCGTTCATTTGCCCGCCCGCTCGATCACCGGCCCGCTCGATCACCCGCCTGCCCGCTCGCCCACTCGTTGGGGCGCCATGGTGGCGAGATGCTACCTCCCTCACCCGGTATACAGGAGGTCGTGAGCTCGATCCCGACCCTGATGCCTGCCGTATATTTGGAGTTTGCATGTCTCTCTCTCTCTCCCCGTGATTGCTTGGATTATTTCTCTGGGTTCTCTGATTTTCCCCTCCACATTTATAATCAACATCACGCATTTAGAGTATTTGGTGATAATAATCCACTTCGTCGAGTTATCATTAGTCCGATTTATCGCTCGCCCGCTCGGCTGATAACTTAGTTAATCTCGCTCATCAATTAATGTTTTTCATTGCTCATCCGGTCTCATTCACTCGTCCCCATAATTCCGCACTCATTCCCTCGCTCATCTGCTCGCTCGCCCATCCCTTCACCCGCTCCCCGACCTCCTCGCCCCTTGACCTCACTCCCCCCCCCCGCCACAGGAGCTGGAGCACTGCCAGGCGGTGCTGCTGAGCGTGACGGACCCGGCGGGCGTGCGCGTCACCGTCGACACGCTGCTCGAGGCGTCGCGCTCCCCGGAGGCGGCCGCGTTGCCGCAGCGCCGCGCCGCCACGGCGCTGCTGGGCGCCGTGTGCGCGCGCGGGCGCGCCGACCTCTCGGACCACATCCCCTCGCTCATCCGCGGCCTCCTCCGCCTCTTCGCCGACGAGGACGACGTCGTTCTCAACAACAGCTGGGACGCTCTCCACGCCGTCATCAAGGCGCGTCGTCCTCGTCGTCCTCGTCGTCCGGTGTCGCGTTACGAAACCCGCGAGTTCGATTCCCGCTCGCGGCAGTCGCCGGCAGCCAGCGGTGACGACGACGATGATCGCGCGTGTCCACGAGTTTGTGTGTTTAGTCGGCAGCGGTCGCTTGGAGGTTCGCATGCCGAGTTACAAACCCGAGTTTGCTCACGGCTAACACCGGAGACGATTGTCCGAATCGGCCCCGGGCCTCCCCCCGGTCGACTCAGCCTCAAATGAGTACCTGGTGCGGTCGGGCGTGGTGCTGGCTACTCACCCCCTCGTGTGCCATGCCAGCCTTCATAGGTGCTACTCTCTAACATAACTTGCCCCAACAGTCTGTTAAAGGAGGGTCTTTGTGTCAACGTGTGTTCATGTATTCATTCATGTGTTTTAATCCGTGCATGTCCGCACGTGTGTTAATCCGTGCGTGTCCGCGTGTGTATTAACGTGTGCGTATCTGCGTGTCTGCGTGTGTACGTGTGCGTGTCTGCGTGTGTACGTGTGCGTGTCTGCGTGTGTATTAACGTGTGCGTGTCTGCGTGTGCGTGTCTTTGTTCCTCGCGAGCAGAAGCTGGACGCAGCGGAGCAGATGCGCTACATCCGCGAGCTGCGCCAGGCAATCCGTTTGGCGGCGTCCGACCTCCTGCCCGGGCAGCACCTGCCCGGCTTCTGCCTTCCCAAGAAGGTGCGGCGGTGGCAGCAGCACGACGCGCCCATCGTCCCAGAGCAATGCAGCTACTGCTGCTGCTGCTGCAGCTGTTGCTGCTGTTGCTGCTGCTGCTGTTGCTGGTGGTGCACCGCGATGCGATTATCGGTTGTGCCGCGTGACCAATTGGAGAAGGCCGCGGTGGTGCCGACGCTCGCGTGTTCGAGTGCGTTTGTGTGCGATGCCTCTGCCGGTCATCTCGGTCCACCCACGGCACTTGGGCATTCGACACTTATTCCCGTGGCCTCCAAGTGCACTTGGCCTGGCACGGGCGCCGTGGTAACGTCACGGCCACTTGGCGGCGAATGGTTGTTGTTGTTGCGTGCGGTTAGGGTTAGTCGGCAACCCGAGTTCGACTCCCGCTCGCGGTGAACACCGGTGACGATTATTTGAACCGGTCCTGAGCCTCCCCGAGGTCGACTGGCGCGGCGTGTAAACGTCGCCACTGGGAGACAAAGGCGGCCGGGCGTGGTGCTGGCCACCCACCCGCTGGTGTGCCGTTGCCGGCCGTCGTAGCTGCTGCCGCTGGCCTACGGCACGTGCCCCCGACGGTCCGTTAAGGCCACACGGGCGACCTTGGTCTCGGTGCGCAGGGCGCGTCGTCGATCCTGCCCGTGCTGCGCGAGGGCGTGCTGAGCGGCGGGGCGGAGCTCAAGGAGGAGGCGGCGCACGGCCTGGGCGAGGTGGTGCGCCTCACGGCGCCCGACGCGCTGCGCCCCTCCGTCGTGAGCATCACGGGGCCGCTCATCCGCATCCTGGGGGACCGTTTCGCGTGGAGCGTCAAGGTGGCGCTGCTCGACACGCTCGCCCTGCTGCTCGCCAAGGTGACGCGCGGACAGACAAAATGACGCTCGCCAGGGTTCCGCGTCACGCACGTACATGCGCACGCACGGACCGCGACCCTCCGCAACGAGCGGCTGGGCCGGGTCGCCGCCCCCCCCACCCCTCTCTGACCGCCCACTCCCTTCGACCATCCTTCCCGGCGTGACCCATTGACCCCACCCCCCCCCCCCCCCCCCCCGGCGGCTCGCAGGTTGGCATGCAGCTGAAGCCGTTCCTGCCGCAGCTGCAGACGACGTTCACCAAGGCGCTGCAGGACCCCAACCGCCTGGTGCGCCTCAAGGCGGCCGAGGCACTGGGCCACCTGGTGCCCATCCACGCCAAGGTGGACCCCCTCTTCACCGAGCTGCTCGCCGGGGCCAGGGCGGCCGAGGACGCCGGCGTGCGGTGAGCGTGGGGGGAGCGGGGGGCGGCGGGGTAGCACTTGGCGCTGCACGATACGAACCCGGCGACCCGAGTTCGATTCCCGCTCGTGGCCAACGCCGGTGACGTGTATCTGGACCGGCCCTGGGCCTCCCCTCGGTCAACTCGGTGTCAAACGAGTACCCGGTGCGGTGTAAACATCACCACTGGGGAGACAAAGGCGGCCGGGCGTGGTGCTGGCCACCCCACCCCTCCTGTGCCGTGTCGGTCTTCGTGGTGCTACTCGCTAACCGCACTTGCCCCATGTGGAACTCCTCCCCCCCACCCCCCTCCCCCCTCGGCCGCTGCAGGGAGACGACGCTGCAGGCGCTGCGTTTCACCATCGCCGGCGCTGGCAGCAAAGTGGACCCATCCGTGCGGCGTAGCGTGACGACCGCGCTGCTCGGCATGCTGGGACACGAGGAGGTACGCGAGCGGTTGCGTGCGAGCGTCTCGTAGGGGCTGCTCGCTAACAGCGCGGTGCTCAGGGGGTGCCTGTTGGAGTGTTTGTGCGCGCGGACGGGGAGCACAGACGAGCGTTGAGCGCGCCGCGCTATCGGGGGAGTATTCCCCGAGCAAACCGCGTAGAGCCAAGGAGCTGTTTGTCACCGGGGCGACTCGGCTGGCAGACGGCGTTGAAGCGTTCCCCACAATCACAAACCCCTCGGCCCGAGTTCCATCGCCGGCCACGGCCAACGTCGGCGGCGACAAAGCTTCCGGGACGTGTGACCGTGCTTCAGAGAGCGGGGACGGTGCGGTTACAGTGACGGTGAGATGCACGGTGACGGTGGGGCGTGCGGTGTGACGGTGCAGGACCCGACGCGTGCGGTGGGAGCCGGCTGCCTGGGGGAGCTGTGCGCTTTCCTTCCCGAGGAGGAGCTGCAGTCCGTGCTGCTGCAGCACGTGCTGGGTGACTCACTCACTCACGCACACACAGACATATATACACACACACAGACATATACACACACACAGACAAAGATCCCCCATATAGCCTGTAATAGACTGTTGAGGCAAGTGCTGTTAGCGAGGACCTATGAAGGTCGGCACGGCACACGAGGGGGTGGGTGGCCAGCACCACGCCCGGCCTTTGTCTCCTCAGTGACGATGTTTACTCATTTGAGACTGAGTCGACCTAGGGGAGGCCCAGGACCGGTTCAGATAATCGTCACCGGTGTTGGCCATGAGCAGGAATTGAACCCGGGTGGCCGGGTTTGTAGCGCAGCGCGCTAACCGCTACACTGCCGCTCCCCACACACACGCAGACTCGAGTACACACACACTGATGCACACATACTCGAGTACACACACTCAAGGACACACGCACCTAGCTTCATAGTCAGCGATTGCCCCAACGGTCTTGTTCATAGTTTGTGTTGCGTGCCCAGTGAGCGAGCAGGCGGTGGACTGGATGACGCGCGCCGGCCGCGCTCTGGCGCTCTGCGTGGCGCTCAAGTCGTGCCCGAGCGCGGTGTGCTCCCCGGAGCGGGCGCCACGCGTCCTCGACTGCATCCTGGCCAACGCCAACGCCGACCGGGTGAGCGCAGAGAGGAGTGGGGGAGAGGGGGTAGAGAGGGTGGAGACTGGGAGAGAGGGTGGAGACTGGGAGAGAGGGTGGAGACTGGGAGAGAGGGTGGAGACTGGGAGAGAGGGTGGAGACTGGGAGAGAGGGTGGAGACTGGGAGAGAGGGTGGAGACTGGGAGAGAGGGTGGAGACTGGGAGAGAGGGAGACAGTGAGAGGGTGGAGACTGGGAGAGGGAGGAGAAGACGAGGTGGAAGACAAAGGTGGTCGGGTGCGGTGTTGGGTACCCGCCCACGTGCGTCGTGCCGGCCTTCACAGGTGCTGCTGCTCGCTCACGGCACTTGCCCCAACAGTCTGTTAAGGCTACACGGGGGGGGGGGGATCTTTGTATTTGTAGGTGCTGATCGCGGTGAGCGGCGTGCGAGCGGCCGGCTACTTGATGAGGCACCAGATGGAGCGCGAAGGGGGCGGCGGCTTCTCTCCCAAGCTCGTCACCGTGCTCGTCAAGGTGCCGCCTCCTCCTGCTGCATCGTCGTCGTTGTTGTTGTTGTCGTCACCGTTGGCGACGTCACTCTGACTTGCGCCGTTGGCTTCAAATCCATTGGGCACCCTGGCAGGGTGGCGTGTCGCCCCGTGTTGGAGAACGCAACCCTCCCCACTCACCCACCCCACCCCACTCACCCACCCCACTCACCCCACCCCACTCACCCCACCCCACTCACCCAGACCCACTCCACTCACCCCACCCCACTCACCCAGACCACCCCACTCATCCCACCCCACTCAGACCACCCCACTCAGACCACCCCACTCATCCACTCCACTCGCGCACCCACCCCATTCACCCCACTCCACTCACCCACCCCACCGACACCGTCCCACCCACCCACCGACACCCTACCCTACTCACCCCACCCACCCTACTCTCCTCACCCACCCCACCCTATTCACTCAACTCTCCAACAGCCCACCCTGCTCACTCACCCACCCCACCCTGCTCACTCACCCCACCCTCTCCCAGCTGCCCATCCACACACCGGCTCGCCGCCTACCCCACCCACGCACGCGCCAACGTACCCACCGCGTACCACCCTCCCCTCTCGCCCTTTCGACCCCGCAGGGCCTGCAGCACCAGTCGAGCGAGGTGCGCCTGGTGGCGGCGCAGGTGTCGTGCTGGGTGCACCGCGCGCCGGGCCCCGAGGCGGCCGACGCCGGCGCCGCCAAGCCGCTGCTCAAGGCACTGCTGGACGGCTACAAGGACAAGAATACGGCGGTGCGAGCCGCCAGCGAGCTGGCGCTCGTCAGCCTCCTGCGTCTGCGCCACGGGGACGCCACCTGCCAGGTGAGCACGGCATGCCGGCCCCCTCGTCGTCACCGTCGTCACCACCGCTGCCGTCGCCACCCACCGATGCTACCGTCACCGCCGCCACCATTACCGTGACCATCGCCACCGCCAACACTCACCGTCTCCATCACCGCCACCACCGTCACCATCACCACCGTCACCGTCACCACCGCCTCCCCTACTGTCACCGCCACCACCGTCACCAACACCATCACCGACACTCTAGTAATGTCACCGTTACCACCACGACTGTCATCGCCACCGTCATCACCGATACCGCCACCACAATTACCACCGTCACCACCAGCACCACCACCACCGGTGATACACCGAGTGAGGAACTTCTCACCGGAAGAAGAGATTATCACCGGGCGAGGAGACACCGTCCTCACTCGCTGTCGCTCCCTCTAGGCCATGTCCAAGGAGCTGGACCCCACGAGCCTGGAGCTGCTCAACGACTGCTGCAAGCGCTCGCTGCGCAAGCTGGCCAGCCAGCCGGAGCCCGCCGAGCACATCGACGACACCATCCTCACGTGACGGCCTCGCCCGCCCGCCGGCACGAGCACCGCTCCTCCTGAACCTCCCACTCCTCTTCCCGCTCCTCCTGAACCTCCCACTCCTCCTCCCACTCAACCTTCCACTCCTCCTCAGCCTCCCACTCCTCCTCCCACCCCTCAACATCCCACTCCTCCTCAACCTTCCACTCCTCCTCAACATCCCACCCCTCTTCCTCCTCCCACCCCTCTTCCACCTCCCACTGCTCCTTCTCCCCGACCTCATCCTCCTCCGACCTCTGCCGCTCCTCTTCCTGCTTCTTCCTCGCCACCGGTGGTTTCGGCCACGGAGTTCTGAATCCATCAACACCACCGCCAATGTCGTCATAATTGTCACGTCGTCTTGATCACCACCATCAACGGCCGTCTTCACCACAATCATCATCATCTTCGTCGCTACTGTTGCCTTGATCACCAGCATTGCGATCGTCACGATCATCGTTGTCGGAGTCGTCGCTGCTGCTGCTGACGCGCTATGTGACGTTCCACCTTCGGGGCGTCGTGTCACTCGGGGTCACGTGACGGCTGCAGCCACGAGAGGCGCTATATTCGACGGTGGAAAAACAAATATTTGATTCTTGAATCGCAAAGCACGCAACCGTGAGAGTTCCTCAAATCCCAGGGGGCTAAATCGCGAAAAGGCAACTTCTCACCACATCCTTTGTTTCCATTTTAATTCTCATGATCATCACAATCAATGACAGTCATCATGATTTCATCGCTCTCGTCATTATGATCATCGTCATCTTAATTCCTCCGCCATCGACCGAAACGGGAAGAACTCGCTCTGTGGGGATTCAGCTGCGACTGTCCTGCCGGAGAGACTGGCCCCTGTTTTAAGAATGTGGAATTTCCACAACTGGATTTCAGGATTACCAACAGAGGTGGCAATTCCACCCCGGAGGAATGATGGTGGTGGTGGTTTATGGCTACTGGCGCCCGCGTATATAATCTTATTACCTGGTCGCGAGTCTCGCACTCCAACCATGACGTCCGTCGCAACGCCGAATGTGAAACAGACTTTACACGGTCCCTTTTGCGCACTTTCCCGATGTCCGCTCCCAATTAGCGTTGTCACAATTTCTCCTTCAGAGCAAACCCTGGACACATTTCTCGGCGTTTGGTCTGTCAGCACTGCGCAGCACAACGCCACCAGAAATCGGCACAAGTCGATTCCCGGACTGGTGGCGTCCGTAACTCGGACTCCACCGCCACCATCCGAAGGGTGAGGAGGAGAGGAGGGGGAGGAGAAGTGAGGGGGTAGTGGAACCCGGAGGGAATCTGTCGCGGTTCGAACGCGAACTGGCAGCCTCACGCGGGTCAAGGGATAGCGCGCACACGGACACACGGACACGCGCACACACACACACTGCCTCTTCAATACATAACCCTTGACCCAAGAACTTTCACTCTGGACCCAGCAACATTCTGGGGTCACCTTTGACACGGGGATTTCATAATGCTGCGTTCGTAGGGAAACGCGGTTTAAGATATAAAACAGAAAAATGACGACGAAGTGGTTTAATGTACAACTCGTCCTGTTTTCTAGGCCTTGTGGTTTTGTGTTATTTAGATCTCAATTCCTGAAATTGTAGGGAATGAGGGGCAATGGTGATTTAAAAATAAATTGTTTAAAAAAGCGTTTAAACAAAATAAAATCGTCAGCGAAAGTCGATTGGAGCTCAGAAAAACCGAACGGATGATGTTCCAAAAGCGACGCCTGGCAAATCCAGGCCTGGCGGCCCTTGCCCGGACATCTGAGTAACAACGGGGGGGGGGGGGGGGGGGGGGATGTTTTGTCCTGCGGTAAATTCTCTGCAAGGTGCGAGCTGTTAATTTGAAACACATGGTGGTGTTGTCCAGTTGGCAACATTGGCAGAAACCTTTGCCAATAGAGGGTGGTGGTGCTGCTGGTGGTGCTGGTGCTGGTGGTGGTGCTGGTGGTGGTGCTGGTGCTGGTGGTGGTGCTGGTGGTGGTGCAGCGGTCGGCGTGCTGTGCTACGAACCCAACGACCCGGGTTCGATTCCCGCTCGGGGCCACCAACACCACTGGCGATTATTTGAACCGGTCCTGGGCTTCCCCTAGGTTGACTCGGCCTTAAATGAGTACCTGGTGCGGTGTGTTAACGTCACCCTGCTGGGGAGACGAAGGCGGCCAGGCGCGTTGTTGGCCGCCCGTCCCCCTCGTGTCCCGTGTCGGCCTTAATAGGTGCTGTCCGCCAACAGCACATGCCACACAGGGGGATCTTTGTCTGTTGTTTTGGTGGTGGCGGTGTCACCGGCTGGACGTCTCGGATGTCGATGTTGGCGTGGCTCCCTCGCAGCGCACCGAGCGAGTGGGCAGCGCACGGAGCGAGTGGGCAGCGCACCGAGCACCGTTGGGGAGGCCGGCCGCGCCCTCGAGTGGTTAAATAAAGGTCGACGCCTCTGCTGGGTCCGAGTGCGAGATGGTGTCGGCTGGGACTGCTCCTGTGACTCCGCACGCGACTCGCGTTCCGGTTATTGCTGCAGGTGACCGTCACGAGCGGTGACTGCGCGCTGTCGACTTACTGCACAGGTGGAAAGTCGAAAACTGTCTGTGGGCAGCGTGCGGAGAGACTGTGGCCACCACTCAGAAGGGAGCATACCCCCATTCACAGATGCAGCGACATCGATCATTACAGCGATACCCATCCCCCCTCCCACGACGACTGATGCGTCACCTGGCTCGTGAAGCTGTGACGTTCTAGCCGGTGGGTCGACGTCGGCCACACCACGAGGCTTGCTGCGGTTGAGTAAATGCCGAAACGAGCCGATGCCACGGTTCGTGCCCTGCACCACGGGGTTGTTCGACTGCCGGCTTCACGTAAATTCTGGGGACGGCAACAACACCGACGGGGAGGTGGGGGGGGTTCTTGGCCAACCGAGTGGCGATGAAGTCCTGTCCGCTGCCTCGGTCACGGGGGTTGTTTGACCATACTTCACCACGCCGGTCGGTGAGGGTGGCTGAAGGGGGGGGGGGGGAGGGCCCAGGTCCACTTGGGATGTCGCTCGCCACTGATGGTAGCCGCTCACCGGGGTGTGGGGGGGGGGAGTCTGCTGTGTGCTAACCGCTGTGCCACCACTCCACCCCCTAAGCGCGATGCGTCTCAGCCACATCGTGGGGGTGGTGGAGGGCGCTCATCCGTCAGCAGCCCATGAGTGAGCCCAGTGGTGGGAATTCCACCTTCCCAGCGCGGAAGTTGGCTCCCGCCACAGGAATGTGGAGACGTTTCTCCCAACAGGCCCCAAGCAGCCGCCAGTGGAGGGAAGCCCCCACGAGTCCAGCACCGCACAGCAGCCTGGCTGGGGCCCCCGCCTAGCACCACCACCACCATCAACCATCACCACGACCACCACCATCAACCATCACCACGACCACCATCACAAACCATGACCACCACCATCACCAAGCATGACCACCAACTATCAATCACCACCACGACCGCCACCAGCAACCATCACCACCACGAACATCACGATCACCAACCATCGACCACCACGATAAACAGATGGAGTCCTCTGACGAGGCGGTTTGCAAGTCGCCATCTCGTCTTCGTTTGTCGCCGCTGCACTCCGCTGCACCCTCCTCAAAGTGACGGCTCTGGCCGCGAGCTGCTGCTGCCAACTCTGCTGAGAAGTGCCTGGAGCGAGCAGCCCCCCTCCCAGCCCCCCTCCCAGCCCCCCTCCCAGCCCTGCCGCTCGCATGGCCCTCGTCGTGGTGGGGGTCGCCCACACCGAGTGGGGGGCGACAGGAATCCACCCAGGGGTTGGCAGATCACGGCAGAGATCGTTGTGGCCTGCAACGATTCCCCCACACACTTGAGCGCGCCACACGCGACCCTGCGCCGATGGACTGCGGCGTGCACAGGCGATGATGGTGGTGGGGAGGTGTGATGTGTGCGTAATGATGTCACGCGTGGACAGTGTTGGTGCCGAGGGACGAGGCGGTGGGCCCAGAGGGATGGACAACAGGGATGTCTGTGTGGGGGGGGGAGGAAGCACAGCGACACAATGGGGGCGCGTGGTGATCCACGCTGACATGGCCCACAGTGCCCTAGGCCACAGGCGGGGGGGGGGGGGAGAATCCAAGAATCCTTCAACTCCCACGCGGCGAGACGTGCGGTTCGCGCCGCCCACCTCCTGAATCCCGACAGCGCCGCGTTGCAGCTGCCGCTCTCACCATTGGGGCTCGCCGAGGTATTCCTGAATAAACATCCAATTCAACTTTCTCGACTTTTCGGCCGATTTTTTCCAGATTATTGTTTGCGTGAACAAATATTTCTCAAGCGTGTCGGAGACAGAAACGGAGAGCCTGGGCGGAAACCTCATGCACGAGGGGCTAACGCGAAGGCAAGGTCCGCACAGACGGGTTCGTGATCCCACGTTCACGCTGGCGTCTTCCCGAGCAGCGGAGAGTTCGGGAATTTCCCAAATCCGCGTGGGACCCACTAAGCCTGACCCACCAAGCCTGTCCCACCAACCCTGACCCACCAAGCCTGTCCCACCAACCCTGTCCCACCGAGCCTGTCCCACAGGCGCACGAGGAGGGGGTGCACGGAGAGGCGGCCGCTGGCTCCGTGGCTGTGACACGGCCACCGTCTCATCGCCCTCGCCCAGAGCTCCTCGCCCCTGGGGTTCAAACCTACGGTGTCCCAGCAACACTGGGATGGGTGTCCTGGCCATTAGAATAACCCTGTGGGATAGATGAGTCCCGTGGTGGCGAGATGTTTACTACCTCGCCTTGTAAGCAGGAGGTCGTAGGGTCAATCTCGACCCTGTTGGATATTTTGCGTCTTCCTGTGGTAGCGTGGATTTTTCTCCGCGTCCTCCGGTTTTTCCCTCCACATTTAGAATCAACATCATCACGCGTTTAAAAGATTTGTCTGTTGCTATAAATGTGCACGTGATAAGCCACTTTGTTGAGCTATCCTTTGTGGCGGCCATGTCACTTCTGAACAAGAGCGACAAAGCTGTGGGCTGTACCTGGTAAAATAAAAAAGTAGTTTTTTTCTTTAGTTTTAAGGCTCAGCCCTTAAGGCTTAAATATGGGATTCACAGTGGCTCTGACATGGCCATTGTGAACCCACCTGGCCACGTGAATTTTCAAGACGGCAAGGGGAGAATTAGTTATTTTGTTTATATTCTCCCTGGCGTGGAGTCTGCGATAAAAACGACAAAAGACTTTTACGATTTGAGTGCTGATAAAAAGTCTCTTTATTTATTTTCTCAACAAAATTGGACATTTGTACGGCGGAGTTGGCATCGGTTGAAAAGTGCAATTTGCGCGCAGCAACGGTTATGTACAGTACGTCTAAGGGTTATGTACAGTACGGCTAACGGCGCGTCGCGCACAAAGTGCCCTCCCCGTCTCGTTAAGTTCTGCACTCCTCCCAAATTCACGGTTAAAATGTCTCTCAACTCATTTCACGTTTCTCAAATTACCATTCTTATTTTATCTTTTTGGCAAACTTGCCTGCGAACCCCCCGCCCGACAACCCCCGATACAAACGACGACGACGAAGACGACAAAACGAGAATGCTTGGAGGACGGGGGGCGGCTCGTGGGGCGATGGGAAAAGAAACAAAAATCCACCGCCGAGTCGCGGCTGGCCCCCAACCTCCTGCCTACACCCCCCCCCCACTCCCGTGTCGGCAGCCGGGTCAACGACGATGCTCAATCTGCGACAGCCTCGTGGCTCATCGAGCCAAACTAAGGCACGCCTAGCGTTTGCCGTCGTGCGGTTTAGTCGCGAAATCACCGCGCCGCCATCTTGAGCTTCAAGAGCCTCCTCTGCCCCAATCCTCTGCCCCGATCCCCACCCCCCTCCCCGTTTGCTCGCATCCCTTCAGCCCCTCCGCCGAAACCTCTCCCGCGGACTCCCGACACCCAAGCAGTTCCCCCGAACCGCCGCCCGCCCCTTCCCCGCGCGAGGCCGGGCCGCGAGGCCGTGAGGCCGCGAGGCCGCGAGGTCGGGCCGCGAGGCCGTGAGGCCGCGAGGCCGCGAGGTCGGGCCGCGAGGCCGTGAGGCCGCGAGGCCGCGAGGTCGGGCCGCGAGGCCGTGAGGCCGCGAGGCCGCGAGGTCGGGCCGCGAGGCCGCGAGGCCGCGAGGTCGGGCCGCGAGGCCGTGAGGCCATGAGGCCGCGAGGCCGCGAGGCCGCGAGGCCGAGCGAGCGGCGAGAGACGCTCAGCAGCACTTCCCGCGGCTGCGTCCCGAGGAGCGGCCGATCTTGACGACGTCGCCGGCGGCCCGCTGCTGCATGCGGGCCTGGTTCTCCTTCTTGGCCCGCAGCACCAGGTCCGTGATGGCCTTGAACATCTGGCGGCGGACAGAACGAGCGCGGACGTCAAATCAAATAGAATCGACGTCAACGCGCATTTAGAGAATGTGCTGCTGCTTTTAATGTCCGCGTGACGATGAGCCGCTTGGCTGAGCTATCATTTGTGATGGGCACGCCGCTTCTGACAAAGAGCTACAGAGCACAGTGTGGCCGACACCTGGTAAAATACAAAATAGTTTACTCACCACGAGACTCCCACGCTGCTTCCCCCCGTACGTTCCCCCTCCTATCTCCCCCCCCCCACCACTCGTTTCTCATAACACCTTCCTGCGTCTCCCGATAACTCCGGAACCTCGTATCTTCCCCGACTGCCATGCCACATCAAAACCCGTCTCGTGTTATCCCGTTCATTGCTGTGGATGTGTGTACCTTACCCACTTGATCAAACCTTTTCTTATGCCATTCTCGTATCACAATCTTGCCTTCTCAAATCTCCCTCGGATTCTACCTGTCTGTGTATCAGCGTGACCTCAACAACCCTGGGATGCCCGTGTCTCGTCTCGATCCCACCACGCCACGTCTCCCTGCCCATCTCTCTCTGCCCAGCATCTCTCCCCTACCTCTCCATGCGCTTAGCTCACCTCTCTTCTCTGCTTCTCCCCACATCTCCCCACATCTCTGTCCCACCGATCTGCCTCCATATCGCTCCCCCGCCTCTCTTCATGTCTCCACCCGCCTCTCCCCGTGTGTCCCTCTCCCAGTGTCCCTCTCTCCCGTGTCCCTCTCTCCCCGTGTCCCCCTCTCCCCGTGTCCCCCTCTCCCCGTGTCCCCCTCTCCCCGTGTCCCCCTCTCCCCCTCTCCCCGTGTCCCCCTCTCCCCCTCTCCCCGTGTCCCCCTCTCCCCGTGTCCCCCTCTCCCCGTGTCCCCCTCTCCCCCTCTCCCCGTGTCCCCATCTCCCCCTGTCCCCGTGTCCCCCCTCTCCACGTGTCCCCCTCTCCCCGTGTCCCCCTCTCCACGTGTCCCCCTCTCCCCGTGTCCCCCTCTCCCCGTGTGTCCCTCTCCCTGTGCCCCCTCTCCCCGTGTCCCCCTCTCCCCGTGTCTCCCTCTCCCTGTGTCCCCCTCCCCCGTGTCCCCCTCTCCCCGTGTCCCTCTCCCTGTGTCCCCCTCTCCCCGTGTCCCCCTCTCCCCGTGTCCCCGTCTCACGTGTCCCCCTCTCCCCACGTCCCTCTCCCTGTGCCCCCCTCTCCCCGTGTCCCTCTCCCCGTGTCCCCCTCTCCCCGTGTCCCCCTCTCCCCGTGTGTCCCCCCGTCTCACGTGTCTCCCTCTCCCTGTGTCCCTCTCCCCGTGTGTCCCCCCATCTCACGTGTCCCCCTCTCCCCGTGTCCCTCTCCACGTGTCCCCCTCTCCCCGTGTCCCTCTCCCCGTGTGTCCCCCCGTCTCACGTCCTCCACGTGGATGTTGTCCTTGGCGCTGGTCTCGTACAGTCGCACCCCCATCTGCTCCGCGAAGCGGCGTGCGTCCTGCGTCTCCACCACCTTCCGGTTCGGGTCGTCGTCCTTGTTTCCCACTTCGCACAGCGACGAGAGAGAGAGAGAGAGACAGCGCCCATCATAAAGATCCCCGCGTAGCCTTAGCAGGCTGTTGTGGCAAGTGCTGTTAGCGAGTAGCATCTATGAAGGCCGGCACGACGCACGAGGGGGTGGGTGGGTGGCCAGCACCACTCCCGGCCGCACTTTGTCTCCCGAGTGGCGATGTTTACACACCGCAGCAGGTAATCATTTGAGGCCGAGTCGACCTAGGGGAGGCCCAGGACCAATTCAGATAATAATTACTGATGTTGGCCATGTGTGGGTTTCGGAGCGCAGCACTACCCCGACCTGTATCGGCGCCCATCAACAACAACAACAACCGCCATTCGCCACTAAGTGGCGGTGACATCACCGCAGCGCTTGTGCCAGGCTAGGTGCACGTTAAGACCACGTGAAGTGTCGAACGCCCGCTGGCAGGTCACAGGACAGACCCAGCTGCCATGGGTTGGCTGACTGAGATGACTGGCTGATGCACCACCTGTGCCCCCTACTGTACCCATCACACACACATGCTCATACACACACACACCCACACACACCGACCCACACCCACAGAGCGATCGTCATTATCTCCGTCTCCCCGGTAGTGTGGGCCATTTGGTGGAGGCAGGGAGCACAGTTCGGTCTAGGCCCCAATTAGCCACAAAGTGCATCTAAAATTCAGGAAATTCTGTGCGTTTGCTTCTTTATACACAAATACCCAATTCCAGAATATTAACGAACAAAGATGACTGAAGCATAATTGCTTATTTATCCAGGAAAGCTTAAGTCTATTATACAAGTGGGAGGAAGCCGGAGCACCTGCAGGAAACCCACGTGTGTGTGCGAGGGGGCAACGCTCTATCCCACACCAAAGGGACAGGTGAGATTATTCGGCACTTTTCTGTACTGCCTTCCCCTGGCAAGCCAGAGTACGGCACCACCTTCATGCCCACATACAATTTATATAGTCTGTAATATATATTTACATGATATATATTATATTTTTAGCAGGTAGCTCTTGAATTTTTTTCTCCGGGTCCTATGGTTTTTTCCTTCCACATTTAGAATTGACGTGTGTTTAGAATATTTGGCTGCTATAAACGATTTCAACGCGATGATGGTAAGCTGCTTTGTTGCGCTCTCACTTGTGGCTCAGGTGACTTGTCTGAAAAGGAGCTAGACAGCTCACTTGGTAAACATTTAAGAGAGTTTGCGAATCGTGAGGTTTCCGTGTTTCCGTGCTCACCGAGGATGCGGCAGACGTCCTCGCAGTTGGTCGTTATCTCCTGGAGCCAGCGCTGAACGTTCACAAACGACTCTGCGCTCGTCACGTCGTACACCACGATCACGCCGTGCGTGCCGCGGTAGTACCTGCTCGCACGCACACACGCGCACAAAGGTCACCACGCGTGCAGCCTTCAACAGACTGCGGGGCAAGTGCTGCCGTCGGTACGGATATGTGCGACCGTGCCGATACGGGCGACTGTGTCGGTGATGGCGCTCACGTGGAGGTGATGGTGCGGAACCGCTCCTGCCCTGCCGTGTCCCAGATCTGCAGCTTTACGCGCTCCCCGCCCACGTCCATCGTCCGGATCTTGAAGTCGACCCCGATGGTCGTGATGTGACTACCTGGGGGTCACGTCATCGCAGGGTCACCGAGTCGCACGGGTCAAAAGGTCAAGCAGAAAAACCGCGTGCAGTAATATGGCGAATGGAGAACACTTTTCGTTCGTTTTGGGAACGATACTCCAAACGCGCGATCGGGGTCGCGCCACGAGACACCCAGGGCATTCGGAATGCTCGCAGAGCAGTGCCTCACTCTGCTCGTGGCTCGCGGTTCCAATCTGGTGGCTGCCCTGGTTATTACTGCAGGGGCACCACGGTGGCCAGGAGATGTTAACTACCTCACCTGGTACACAGGAGGACGTGGGTTCAATCCCGACCCCGACGCCTGCTGCTGCTGTGTATTTGGAGTTCTCTCCCCCCCGTGGGCACGTGGATTTGTCTCCGGGTCCTCCGGTTTTTCACTCCACATTGAGAATCAACATCGCCACGCGTTTAGAGTATATGGCTGCTATAAATTTCCACGTGATGATGATAAGCCACTTCATTAAGCTAACAATTATGGCCAGGTCGCAACTGAAAAGAGCCACATAGCTCTATGGGCATTACCTGTTAGGTGCTTTAACCGTAACTACAACTACACACGCAGTCCGCTTGACGGGTTGATGTTAAAGATCGCGTGACATCGTTCAACACTGGGACTACCCGGCCAGAGTTGCCTTGTGTCCGTTCTCCTTTGGGTGCGTACTGCAGAAGAAATTTCCAAGGCAAATAATAACAATGATGATCGCGTGGTTTTGATGCAATCTAAACGCCACGAGTGAACGGCGCACATGTCCAATCAGGTCTCCGTGGGTCAAAGTGCTCGGCTCAATAGAAAGGTCGCGGAGTTCAAATCTTGGTCAGGGGTGACTCACACCATCATTCTGCATTAATATCACCCCCATTATCATCACCATCATCATCCCCGTAATCGTCATTGGACATCAATATCAAAATTATCATCAGGAACATCACTACTGTACTATCATTAACATCACTCCCATCGTAAAATCACGACTGTATTATCATTATCAACATCGCTACCATCACCACTATGATCATCAGGAACATCACCACCATCATCACTGCTGTATCATCACCATCAACATCATCACTGTTATCAGCATAATCAATAGTATCACCATCATCACTATCCCTCTACTGTCAACAGTCATCATCCAATGGATAGTCTGGGAATGTGGAATTTCCACCGCTGTCTTGTCTCCAATGGAAGTAGAATGCCAGCCCAAGGGATGATGTTTGAGCAGCGAGGCTTGTTGATTTGACGGCTAGGAGTCCAATGTTTACATGTGACTTGCCTCACAGTTGCCGTATCATTAACGCCACAAACTTGACGCCTTGACAGTGACAAGGTTGTCAGTCTGACTGGATGAGATAAACTTAGATTTAGGCGAGGGTGGGTGTGTGCGAGTGATTGTGTAGGTGTGTCACTATATATAACCATAGACGTGCGTCGCTGCGTCACTGTGAAGTTGTGTTGAGCAGTACACCGAGGTGGTGCGAGTGTGAAGCGGTAGTGCAGCAGTAGCGGTTAGCCACGAACCCGGCCACACGAGTTCAATTCCCGCTCACGGCCAACATTGGTGACAATTATCTGAATAGGTCCTGGGCCTCCCCTAGGTCGACTGAGCCTCAAATAAGTACTTGGTGCGGTGTGTAAACATCGCCACCGGGGAGACAAAGGCGACCGGGCGCGGTGCTGGCCACCCACCCCCCTCGAGGCCTTCATAGGTGACAGCACTCGCTAACAGCACTTGCCCCAACAGTTTGTTAAGGCTACACGGCGGATCTTTGCATTTGTCTTTGTCACTGCAATTGAAGGTGTGGGTCTGTATAAAGGTCAATACATTTGAGTCACTATGCTCACTGGCTCATGCAGTGTGTATGTGCTTTGTGTGCAAGGGTCTGTATCTGAGCGTATGTTGTGTGTGTGTGATGGAGGTCGTTGTGATTGAATGCGTGTTGTGTTTGTGTGTGGAATTGTGCGTGCACAGCCAGTTTGTAAATCCTCCACTGCTGGATGAGGGACTCCCTACTCCCATGCTGTGCAGGCAAGGAGGGCTCTTTCATCCATACTTCACCACGCTGGTCAATGTGGGTGAGTGAAGTTGGGTTGCGATGAATGTTCAAGACCGTGAGCATTCCCCTACAGCGATGAATGTTCAAGACCGTGAGCGTTCCCCTACAGCGATACATGTTCAAGTCCGTGAGCGTTCCCCTACAGCGATACATGTTCAAGACCGTGAGCGTGACGACGACGACGCGATGGGGGCAAGACGGGCTGTGACACCAACAGCCTCGAGGTGCAGCCGCCGCCAAGAGACAAATCACAACATTGGGGGCCCCACGGGACCGATTGCTGCACCCCCTGAGCTGATGATAACGCAGTTACTACGACCCTGGTTACTTTCGGTACTTCGTCATAGATGTTAGTTACTATGCCACTGATAATGTCGTTACTATGCCACTGATAACGTCATTAATATGCCACTGATAACGTCATTACTACGCCACTGAAAATGTCGTTACTACACCACTGGTCATGCCGTTACTATGCCACTGATATAATGTAGTTGTTACACCACTGATAATGTAGTTACTAAGCCACTGATAATGTAGTTACTACGCCACTGATAATGTAGTTACTACGCCACTGATAATGTAGTTACTACGCCACTGATATTGTACTTACTACACCATTGATAATGCAGTTACTACGCCACTGATAATGTAGTTACTACGCCACTGATAATGTAGTTACTACGCCACTGATAATGTAGTTACTACGCCACTGATAATGTAGTTACCATGCCACTGATAATGTAGTTACTACACCACTGATAATGTAGTTACTACGCCACTGATAATGTAGTTACCATGCCACTGATAATGTAATTACGCCACTGATCCAGGTTCAATCCTCCTTAGATTCCTGCATCTGACAGACACGTGGCTGCATGCCTGCGTGGTCGTGTGTGCTATTATAGAGTGGGTGTGAGTGCACGATTGTGTGTGTGCGGTTATGGAACGACTTATTATCAGATCTTGAGTTTGTGTGTGTGTGTGATTGTGTGCGTATCGGGGCTTGTGTGGGATGTCATTGTGTGGGAGTGGTGGTGCAGTGCTTAGCGCGCTGGGATACGAACCAGAGTTATATTTCCGCTCACGATTTTCTGAACCGGTCCGTGGGCCTCCTCTAGGTTGACTCGGCCTCAAATGAGTACCTGGTGCTGTGTATAAACGTCGCCACTGGAGAGACAAAGGCGGCCAGGCGTGATGCTGGCCACCCACCCCCTCGTGAGCCGTGCCGCCCTTCATGAGTTGCTGCTACTCGCTAACAGCACTTGCCCCCAGTCTGTTCAAGGCTACAAGGGGGAATCTTTGTCTTTGCGTGGTTCGTGTATTGAAAGTGCCGGCTCACCTGAGAAGACGTTATCTGAGAAACGTAGCAGCAAGCTGCTCTTGCCCACACCTGCAACACACACACAGAACATGTACCATACACACCTGCAACACACACACAGTACATGTACCATACACACCTGCAACACACACACAGTACATGTACCATACACACCTGTAACACACACAGTACATGTACCATACACACCTGCAACACACACACAGTACATGTACCATAACACCTGCAACACACACACAGTACATGTACCATACACACCTGCACCACACACCATGCATGTACCATACACACCTGCACCACACACAGTACATGTACCATACACACCTGCAACACACACACAGTACATGTACCATACACACCTGCAACACACACACAGTACATGTACCATACACACCTGCACCACACACCTCCACCACACACCCTGCATGTACCATACACTCCTGCACCACACACAGTACATGTACCATACACACCTGCACCACACACAGTACATGTACCATACACACCTGCAACACACACAGTACATGTACCATACACACCTGCACCACACACAGTACATGTACCATACACACCTGTTCCACACACAGTTCATGTACCATACACACCTGCACCACACTCCGTGCATGTAATATATAATCAGAGCCATGTCTGACCACATGCTTGTGTGGTTAATGCAGACTTGATGCCACGGGTGTCTATTTGGCGTCTTCACCCTCTGCACAGCCCCCGTGTTATTGCTGGATAATGGTAAACGCCTATTCTCCTGCCATCGCTGCTGCGTGTTGGTGGGTAGTGCGAGCAGGAGATCGCGTCTCGTGGCGGAGTGTTAAAGCCGCTGGTGTCGCCGTGTGAGTGGCGCAGAGCAAACCACCGCGCAGTGTCAGCAGTCTACACAGCACTGTACCAAGTACAGCAGCTTCCTGTTCACCCCCAGCACGGGCCTCGACTTCAACACGGCACTGCGCTAAGACTACAACCACGTTGACAACACCAAGACAGCCACCATTCGCCACTCAGTGGCAGTGACGTCGCCACGACGCCTGTGCCAGGCTAGGTGCACTTTGAGGCTGCCACGTGAAGTGTCGGGAGGCTCGCTGCTGACAGGAGGTCTCGGGACTGACCCTGCAGGTGCCACGGGTTGGCCGACTGTGATGACTACTGGTAGATGCACCACCTGTGCCCCCTACTGTACCAACTTGCTGTGCTTTAGCCACCCGGGGATCCGCTCGTTGTTGTGAGCGTCGCTCCTCCGCCCTCCGTTGTTGTTGGAGGGCGACTGCCTCCAACTGCCCAGTAGCGTCCTTCACGAGCCTCCTCCACAGAGGCCGATCTTGACACCGCTGGTACCAGTCATCGGCAAGTCCACTCAGCTCCACGTCCTCCTGTACCACATCACTCCATCTCTTCTCTAGCCCGTGTCACTCACTCACCCACTCATTCACTCACTCACCCACTCACTCACTCAGCTCCACGTCCTCCTGTACCACATCACTCCATCTCTTCTCTAGCCCGTGTCACTCACTCACCCACTCATTCACTCACTCACCCACTCACTCAGCTCCACGTCCTCCTGTACCACATCACTCCATCTCTTCTCTAGCCCGTGTCACTCACTCACTCACCCACTCACCTACTCACCCACTCACTCAGCTCCACGTCCTCCTGTACCACATCACTCCATCTCTTCTCTAGCCCGTGTCACTCACTCACCCACTCATTCACTCACTCACCCACTCACTCAGCTCCACGTCCTCCTGTACCACATCACTCCATCTCTTCTCTAGCCCGTGTCACTCACTCACCCACTCATTCACTCACTCACCCACTCACTCAGCTCCACGTCCTCCTGTACCACATCACTCCATCTCTTCTCTAGCCCGTGCCGCGTCCGTTTAGCCCCCTCGATCCGGCCGAACAAAAGCTGTTTAGGCATGCGGTGGCTGGGCATGCGGGCTACATGGCCCAGCCAACGCAGCCTTGCCTGCCGGAGGAGCTCACCGATGGGACTTTGTCCAGATCTTTCAAGGATTTGAGAGCTCCTCACACAATCCATCCTGTAGGTTAAACCCAGGATGGATCGTAGGCAGGCCAGCCTAAATGTTTCCACCCGGTGAACATATTCCATTAGAGGGGTCCACGCTTCGCAAGCGTAGAGAAGGGAGGGCATGACCGTGGCCGAGAAGATCCGAAGCTTCGTGCGGAGTGACAGACCAGGTAGCTTTCACAGAGCAGCAGCGTTACGCAGCCGATGTAAAGATGATGCCACCCGGCTGATTCGGAGTGAGACCTCTGATGTGGGGTTGTTGGTGGTGTGGTGTGGGGTTGTTGGTGGGGTGATGTGGGGTTGTTGGTGGTGTGATGTGGGGTTGTTGGTGGTGTGGTGTGGGGTTGTTGGTGGTGTGATGTGGGGTTGTTGGTGGTGTGGTGTGGGGTTGTTGGTGGGGTGATGTGGGGTTGTTGGTGGTGTGGTGTGGGGTTGTTGGTGGGGTGATGTGGGGTTGTTGGTGGTGTGATGTGGGGTTGTTGGTGGTGTGGTGTGGGGTTGTTGGTGGTGTGGTGTGGGGTTGTTGGTGGTGTGATGTGGGGTTGTTGGTGGTGTGATGTGGGGTTATTGGTGGTGTGGTGTGGGGTTGTTGGTGGGGTGATGTGGGGTTGTTGGTGGTGTGATGTGGGGTTGTTGGTGGTGTGATGTGGGGTTGTTGGTGATGTGATGTGGGGTTGTTGGTGGTGTGGTGTGGGGTTGTTGGTGGTGTGATGTGGGGTTGTTGGTGATGTGATGTGGGGTTGTTGGTGGTGTGATGTGGGGTTGTTGGTGGTGTGATGTGGGGTTGTTGGTGGTGTGATGTGGGGTTGTTGGTGGTGTGGTGTGGGGTTGTTGGTGGTGTGATGTGGGGTTGTTGGTGGTGTGATGTGGGGTTGTTGGTGGTGTGGTGTGGGGTTGTTGGTGGTGTGATGTGGGGTTGTTGGTGGTGTGATGTGGGGTTGTTGGTGGTGTGATGTGGGGTTGTTGGTGGTGTGATGTGGGGTTGTTGGTGGTGTGATGTGGGGTTGTTGGTGGTGTGATGTGGGGTTGTTGGTGGTGTGATGTGGGGTTGTTGGTGGTGTGGTGTGGGGTTGTTGGTGGTGTGATGTGGGGTTGTTGGTGGTGTGATGTGGGGTTGTTGGTGGTGTGATGTGGGGTTGTTGGTGGTGTGATGTGGGGTTGTTGGTGGTGTGATGTGGGGTTGTTGGTGGTGTGATGTGGGGTTGTTGGTGGTGTGGTGTGGGGTTGTTGGTGGGGTGGTGTGGGGTTGTTGTGGTGTGTCACTCACCGCTGTCTCCGATGATGAGCAGTTTGAAGAGGTGGTCGTATTCGCGAGCCATTGCAGCAGCAGCAGCAGTCGCCGGCAGTCAACGCGACCCCCTCCACGACCCACCGACCCCTTGGCAACACGAACGGCTACCACGCAAATTCACCTCGCCACTGCAACACCCACAGAGTCAAACCCCAGCCCAATCGGGACCACTCACGGCCACTGACGGCCACTGACTCACGGCCACTGGCCACTGACACTCACTGACACTGACCACTCACACGGCCACTGACTCACGGCCACTGACACTCACTGACACTGACCACTGACACTCACACGGCCACTGACTCACGGCCACTGGCCACTGGCTACTGACACTCACTGACCACTGGCCACTGACACTCACTGACCACTGACACTCACTGACACGGCCACTGACACTCACTGACCACTTGCCACTGACACTCACTGACCACTGGCCACTACACTCACTGACACGGCCACTGACACTCACTGACCACTGGCCACTGACACTCACTGACACGGCCACTGACACTCACTGACACGGCCACTGACACTCACTGACACGGCCACTGACACTCACTGACACGGCCACTGACACTCACTGACCACTGGCCACTGACACTCACTGACACGGCCACTGACACTCACTGACCACTGGCCACTGACACTCACTGACCACTGGCCACTGACACTCACTGACCACTGGCCACTGACACTCACTGACACGGCCACTGACACTCACTGACCACTGGCCACTGACACTCACTGACACGGCCACTGACACTCACTGACCACTGGCCACTGACACTCACTGACACGGCCACTGACACTCACTGACACGGCCACTGACACTCACTGACCACTGGCCACTGACACTCACTGACCACTGGCCACTGACACTCACTGACCACTGGCCACTGACACTCACTGACCACTGGCCACTGACACTCACTGACCACTGGCCACTGACACTCACTGACACGGCCACTGACTCACGGCCACTGCCACTGAGGCCACCACCGACTCACTCGCGCCCAGCAGCGCTCCGCCTGCTCCGCGCCGCGTCTGGCGGCAGCGATAAGAACCCGCCCTGGCGACACCCAGCGCCGATACTAATTGAACTATAAATGGAGCTGCAAATTGAACTATAAATTGACCGAACGGCGTCTGGCGAGCGAGACGGACGAGGCTGGCGAAGGAGCCGCGCGCGTCTCGCCGACTGCGACTGCCGCCGCTGGGCCACGAGAGGCGGCGCGTCCGCCGGGCAGCCGGGGCCTGCTCCTGCTGCTGCTGCTGCCGCCTCCTGCTGCTGCTGCCGGCTCCTGCTGCTGCTGCTGCTCCTGCTGCTACTGCCGCCTCCTGCTCCTGCTGCCGCCTTCTCCTCCTCTTCCTGCTGCTGCCGCTACTGCCGCCGCCTCCTCACGGGTCCCCGACTCGCCAGCGCCGAGAGGAACGCCTCTCGCCACACGGTTCCGCCTCCTCGGGGGGGACTCCTCGGCGAAGGCGCCCAGCGCCTCGAGCAGCGCCTCGACTGCGGGATCCCTTCGCGAGGGGAGAGCGCCCTCACAAAGACCACTCAGACTCCTCTTCCTCCTCACAAAGCCTCCTCCTGCTGCTGCTGCTTCTCTCCCTGCTGCTGCTTCTCTCCCTGCTGCTGCTTCTCTCCCTGCTGCTGCTTCTCTCTCCCTGCTGCCGCTGCTGCTGCTGCCCCCCCCCCCCCCTCTCTCTCTCTGTGCCCGTGAGCGCGCGGCGGGCTCCACAGACGCCGCCTCGTGCCCCCCCCCCACGTGTCCCCCCCCCCCGCGCCGCCGTCGGCAGAGCGACGCGACCCTCGGAGGTGGTGGAGGATGAGGAGCGACGCGGAGCTTCACAGGGTGACGAAGATGTCAGAGTCCTCCTCCTGTCCTCTTCCTCTCTCCCCGTGCGAGTCTCTGTGCGAGTCTCTGCCTCGGGTTAGCGAGCGGGCTGGGCCGGGCTGGGCCGGGCTGGGTTGAGTGAAACTCGGCACCCGGAACACGCCAGATCCGGAAACGGCGATGAGCCTTCAACGCAAGTAAATAAATATATAATTGCGCCTTTATTTTTTTTCTTTTTCGAAAAGTCAGGGCGGAGCTGAGCCGCCCACCGCGTATCGCGAACGAGTCCCGGGGACTGTGTGTGGTGTGTGTGTGTGTGGTGTGTGTGTGGTGTGTGTGGTGTGGTGTGTGTGTGGTGTGTGTGGTGTGGTGTGTGTGTGGTGTGTGTGGTGTGTGTGTGGTGTGTGTGGTGTGTGTGGTGTGTGGTTTGTGTGTGGTGTGGTGTGTGTGTGGTGTGGTGTGTGTGGTGTGTGTGTGGTGTGTGTGGTGTGTGTGGTGTGTGTGGTGTGGTGTGTGTGTGTGTGTGTGTGGTGTGTGGTGTGTGGTGTGGTGTGGTGTGTGTGTGGTGTGGTGTGTGTGGTGTGTGGTTTGTGTGTGGTGTGGTGTGTGTGGTGTGTGTGTGGTGTGGTGTGTGTGGTGTGTGTGTGGTGTGTGTGGTGTGTGTGGTGTGGTGTGTGGTGTGTGGTGTGTGTGTGGCATTGTGTGTGGTCAGTGTGTGGGGTGTGTGTGGTGTGTGATGCGTGTAGTGTGGTGTGTGTGTGTGGTGTGTGTGTGTGTGTGGTGTGTGTGTGTGGTGTGTGTGTGTGGTGAGTGTGTGTGGTGAGTGTGTGTGGTGAGTGTGTGTGGTGAGTGTGTGTGGTGTGTGTGTGTGTGGTGTGTGTGTGGTGTGTGGTGTGTGTGTGTGGTGAGTGTGTGTGGTGAGTGTGTGTGGTGAGTGTGTGTGGTGAGTGTGTGTGGTGAGTGTGTGTGGTGTGTGTGTGTGGTGTGTGTGTGGTGTGTGTGGTGTGTGTGTGGTGAGTGTGTGTGGTGAGTGTGTGTGGTGAGTGTGTGTGGTGAGTGTGTGTGGTGAGTGTGTGTGGTGAGTGTGTGTGGTGAGTGTGTGGTGTGTGTGTGGTGTGTGGTGAGTGTGTGTGGTGAGTGTGTGTGGTGTGTGTGTGTGGTGTGTGTGGTGTGTGTGTGGTGAGTGTGTGTGGTGAGTGTGTGTGGTGAGTGTGTGTGGTGAGTGTGTGTGGTGAGTGTGTGTGGTGAGTGTGTGTGGTGAGTGTGTGTGGTGTGTGTGTGGTGCGTGTGTGTGGTGCGTGTGGTGTGTGGGGTGTGTGGTGTGTGTGTGGTGTGTGTGTGGTGTGTGTGGTGTGTGTGTGGTGTGTGTATGTGGTGTGTGTGTGTGTGGTGTGTGTGTGGTGTGTATGTGGTGTGTGTGGTGTGTGTGGGTGTACAGCCCAGTGCGTGGTGGTGGTATCGTAGTGGGCCAGGCGCCGGGTCTGGGGCTGGTTGGGGACCAGAGCTGCTGCGATCTCTGCCTCATCGCCTGCCTCATCACCTGCCTCATCGCCTGCCTCATCACCTGCCTCATCGCCTGCCTCATCACCTGCCTCATCACCTGCTGCCGCTGCTGCTGCTGCACTCTGACATCGTTGCGAGTGACGGCAGCAGCAGCAGCGATGTGAACACGACACGAGTGTAAAGTATAGGAAATGTAAACAAATAACTTCGAACAAGACAAACTAAACTATTTTTTGTATTTCACCAGCTAAGGCCGACTGAGCTATTGGCTTATTTTACAGAAGCGACCTGGCGATCACAAGTGGCAGCTCAGCGAAGTGGCCTATCACGTGGACATTGATAGCAGCAAACTACTCTAGGTTCATCTAGACACGTGCTTATCAGCGGCATTGTTCGCGTCTATCTCAGCTGCGTTGGTAGCAGCAGCAGTAGTAGCAGTAGTAGCAGCAGCAGTAGTAGTAGTAGCAGTAGTAGCAGCAGTAGTAGTAGTAGCAGCAGTAGCAGCAGTAGTAGCAGCAGCAGTAGTAATAGCAGCAGTAGTAGTAGCAGCAGTAGTAGCAGCAGCAGTAGTAGTAGCAGCAGCAGTAGTAGTAGCAGCAGTAGTAGTAGCAGCAGTAGCAGCAGCAGTAGTAGCAGCAGTAGTAGTAGCAGCAGTAGCAGCAGCAGTAGTAGCAGCAGCAGTAGTAGCAGCAGTAGTAGTAGCAGCAGCAGTAGTAGTAGCAGCAGCAGTAGCAGCAGCAGTGTCACAGGATGAGCCACTTAGATGAGCTGTCATCGTGAGAGGTCGCTGCTGGACATGAGCTCAGTGGGCCTCATCCAGTAACATAAAGAGCAATAGTTCGTTTGTATTTAGTTTTATCATCATTACGATGTCATCATAGCTGTCAACCCCTGATCAGTGACCCCCACCTTGTTACAGACCATTGGAATTGTTGACACTGCTGCTGGTTAAGCCATGTTTGTTTGTTGAAGTACGGAGTTAGCCTGACAACTTTATCTAAATTGTCTTATGGTTGTGATTGTTCGACTTGCACTGGGATCTTTGCACACAGTGTTGATATCGGCGAATCTCTCTGTAAGATATCGCTGGCTTTCCTGGATGTTTCTGTTGCGCGTCGTCGCTTTCAGATGTCCCTTGTTCGTGGTTTTGTTTGTTGCGGTTGCACCCGAGTCAAGAGCCTCATGGCTCACAGGGCTATTACCTAATACATGAAACCAACTCAGACCTCATTGGTCACCCCGTGCCCTTCATACATCTCAACGTTCACCCCACAGAGTCCCATCATCACGAGGGAGACGCACAAACACAGACGACGGCTTTGCCCGTCCTGACACGGGCTCTACGCCACGTGGGTTGACGGCGCCGCCATCACTTGTCAGCACAGAAGCCGCGGTGACGTCATCGCACCGTGACGTCACCGCGGCATCGTGCTGACAAGTGACGTCACCCCAAGCCGCGTGACCACTTGGCGGGGGAGGGGGGGACGCCATTTTTCAGTGACGTCATATTAGGATCAATCCGAATGATCGGGATTTTATCGATTAAGCCGATTTGTCGTGATTTGTCGTGATGTTAGTTGACGTGAGTGTTTTGGTTAGTTATCATCCCCGTTCATAGTGATCGCGCCTTTAACACATTCCTGCGGAGGGAGCTGGTAGGAACACGTTGGGCTGCTCGGTCAATGGCCTGCAGGGTCAACGGCGGCGTGGTGTATTCCGCAAATATGCCGACTGTGAGGGCGGGCACAAGCCGGCGTGAGTAGGTGCAACGTTGAGTTTTATAAGGGCACCACGGGGTGACCAGCCCCTCCCCACCCAGCCCCACCCTCCCACCCTCCCCCCACCCAGCCCCTCCCCACCCAGCCCCTCCCCACCCTCCCCACCCAGCCCCACCCCTCCCACCACCCCCCACCCAAGTGATGTCTCAATGCCAACTCACGTGGCTTGAAGCATCGAGTTGTTAAACATGTTCAATAAAAACTAGTCAGTGTGCAATTGGATCTTCGCTGTGTGAGAGCTGTCCTCAAGATGTACCTCGTCACTGCTTCAAAGGCACCGATCTGACTACTCTTTGTATTTTCACACTTTGTATTTTCACACTTTGTATTTTACTACTCTTTGTATTTGACTACTCTTTGTATTTTCACACTTTGTATTTGACTACTCTTTGTATTTTACCAAGCAAGGCCCCACTGAGCCCCGGAGCTCCCTTCTCGTGTTAGTAGTTCTGTGGTAACGAAGTGAGCACAAGTTCGCGTTATAAACACGACCACGAATCTGTCGCTTCGCGGCACGACTGCGTCCCGCGTGTGGCTAATCGCCTGAGGAAGCTGGTGGTAGTTGTGGCTGTAATCACCGCCACGGGACTCGCATGGTGACCCTTGTCGTGGGCTACTCTCCAGCACAGCGCCGTGCTGGACAGTGAACTCGTCTTCTGCGCCTTCTGTTCACGTGACAACCCCTCCTGCTGAGTGGCCGTGTCGGGTGGTGGCGGGTTGAACGACACAACATTTATATTTTATATTCGCGTGATCTACCCCCCCCCTCTATGATGGACGACTTACAGTTGTGTTTGTATTAAAATAAAAGTCAGAATGTCATATTCCTGCCAACGCGCACGTTCACCCACACGGCCTCTCGCGGGGAAGTTTTAGTTTATTTTAACGACGGAACCGGCGCCGGTTGGAGCGACGACTCGATACGCGACTGACGCGCCGTCCGCCATGTTGGGCAAGGGGGTAGGACCGTCCGCCATGTTGGGCAAGGGGGTGGGGCCGTCCGCCATGTTGGGCAAGGGGGTAGGACCGTCCGCCATGTTGGGCAAGGGGGTGGGGCCGTCCGCCATGTTGGGCAAGGGGGTAGGGCCGTCCGCCATGTTGGGCAAGGGGGTAGGGCCGTCCGCCATGTTGGGCAAGGGGGTGGGGCCGTCCGCCATGTTGGGCAAGGGGGTGGGGCCGTCCGCCATGTTGGGCAAGGGGGTGGGGCCGTCCGCCATGTTGGGCAAGGGGGTAGGGCCGTCCGCCATGTTGGGCAAGGGGGTGGGGCCGTCCGCCATGTTGGGCAAGGGGGTGGGGCCGTCCGCCATGTTGGGCAAGGGGGTGGGGCCGTCCGCCATGTTGGGCAAGGGGGTGGGGCCGTCCGCCATGTTGGGCAAGGGGGTAGGGCCGTCCGCCATGTTGGGCAAGGGAGTAGGGTCGTCCGCCATGTTGGGCAAGGGGTTAGGGCCGTCCGCCATGTTGGGCAAGGGGGTGGGGCCGTCCGCCATGTTGGGCAAGGGGGTGGGGCCGTCCGCCATGTTGGGCAAGGGGGTGGGGGAGCTGTCGCCTAGCAACGGCGCGTCGCAGCTTGGTGGCGTCACATTCACCTCAACATTTACAATTTTTAAGTTACAATAATAATGTTTTGTTCTTCTCTTTAAGGCCACAAACATTGTTACTGTTGTTGTTATTTACGAATGCGTTGTGTGTTGTTTGTGCACCACTGCCAACGCAACTGCAGCCTCTCCACATAATGTGCTAATACGGATCGGTGGTTTCCCGGGGCAACACGGTAAACCCGTTGACAATGTCTTATAATTTTAAATGTTATGTTCGGTGTGCACCTGAGACTCAATGAAACTTGTGATCATTCGTTTTGCATGGAACTGTATTTACTAAAACAGTTTTAACTTAACCCCGTTCACTGGTTCGGCCCCACCGGAAGCCGCGGGTACAGTGCGTGTAGAGGACACGCCGGTTACTGTACCAAGGCTGGGCTGTCACAGAGACACTCAGATACACAGATACACTCAGATACACAGATACACTCAGAGACTCACAGATACACACAGAGACACACACAGAGACACTCAGATACACAGATACACACAGAGACACACACAGAGACACTCAGATACACATACACAGATACACTCAGAGACTCACAGATACACACAGAGACACACACAGAGACACTCAGATACACAGATACACACAGAGACACACACAGAGACACTCAGATACACAGATACACACAGAGACACACACAGAGACACTCAGATACACATACACAGATACACTCAGAGACTCACAGATACACACAGAGACACACACAGAGACACTCAGATACACAGATACACACAGAGACACACACAGAGACACTCAGATACACAGATACACACAGAGACACACACAGAGACACTCAGATACACATACACAGATACACTCAGAGACTCACAGATACACACAGAGACACACACAGAGACACTCAGATACACAGATACACACAGAGACACTCAGATACACAGATACACTCAGAGACTCACAGAGACACTCAGATACACAGAGACACTCAGATACACAGAGACACTCAGATACACAGAGACACTCAGATACACAGAGACACTCAGATACACAGAGACACTCAGATACACAGAGACACTCAGATACACAGAGACACTCAGATACACAGAGACACTCAGGGACTCACACAGAGACAATCAGATACTCAGATACACACATAGACACTCAGATACACTCAGAGACACACAGAGACTCAGAGACACTCAGATACACACAGAGACACTCAGATACACAGAGACACTCAGATACACACAGAGACTCAGATACACACAGAGACTCAGATACACTCAGATACACTCAGAGACTCAGAGACACTCAGAGACACACAGAGACACTCAGGGACACACATAGACTCAGACAGAGACTCAGAGACACACAAAGACATAGACACTCATAGACACAGAGACTCAGATACACACATACACTCATAGACAGAAACTCAGAGACTCATAGACACAGACACTCAGAGACAGAGACTCAGACAGACACAGAGTGTCTGGAGCTGGCAGTGTCACTCTGACAGCCACACACGTGGGCACATTCGCAGTCATCCTGACGGATAATTCGTGGTTTGTTCAGCCAGTCACGAAAGGCAGACATTTATTGAACGTGTCGGAGACCGGGTTAACCCAGTCAGCCAGGCTTAGTGCTGCAGTCACTGAAGTAAACACGCCGAGTGAGTCAATCAGGCAAGCACTTCAGCGAGCCGCTTAATTCGTGAGATATTAAACTCCGCTCGTGAGTTATCCGTGACCAGGGCGGCCCGACTGCTGCTGCTGCCGCTGCTGCCCCCCGGGGCGATGCTGGGGAGCCTGGGGCCGGGGAGGCTGGCGAGGCTGGGGGGGCTGGCGAGGCTGGGGGGGCTGGCGAGGCTGGGGGGGCTGGCGAGGCTGGGGGGGCTGGCGAGGCTGGGGGGGCCGGGCGTGCGGCGCGTCTGGCGGGAGGCGGCGGCGAGGGCGGCTCACGGCGACTCGAAGTGAGCGGCGCCCTTCAGAGACACCCGCGGTCGGCTCCTCGCTCTGTGTGTCCGGCTCCTCGCTGTGTGTGTCCGGCTCCTCGCTCTGTGTGTCCGGCTCCTCGCTCTGTGTGTGTCCGGCTCCTCGCTCTGTGTGTGTCCGGCTCCTCGCTCTGTGTGTCCGGCTCCTCGCTCTGTGTGTCCGGCTCCTCGCTCTGTGTGTCCGGCTCCTCGCTCTGTGTGTCCGGCTCCTCGCTCTGTGTGTCCGGCTCCTCGCTCTGTGTGTGTCCGGCTCCTCGCTCTGTGTGTGTCCGGCTCCTCGCTCTGTGTGTCCGGCTCCTCGCTCTGTGTGTGTCCGGCTCCTCGCTCTGTGTGTGTCCGGCTCCTCGCTCTGTGTGTCCGGCTCCTCGCTCTGTGTGTGTCCGGCACCTCGCTCTGTGTGTGTCCGGCTCCTCGCTCTGTGTGTCCGGCTCCTCGCTCTGTGTGTCCGGCTCCTCGCTCTGTGTGTCCGGCTCCTCGCCCGAGTGTCCTTCACCAGCGTATCTCACCTGCGTGCCCCTCTGCCCCTCACCTCCGTGTCCCTCACCCGCATATCTCACCGCGTGTCCCTCGCCTGCCTATCATTCACCTGGGCCTCTCGTCTGCGTATCGCTCGCCTGCGTATCCCACACGTGCATGACACCTGCCTGACCTCACCTGCCTGACCTCACCTGCCTGACCTCACCTGCCTGACCTCACCTGCAAGGCCCCCTCTCACCTGCCTGGCCTCACCTGCAAGACCCTCTCTCACCTGCCGCTCTCACCTGCCTCTCTCACCTGCGTGTCCCCCTCTCACCTGCCTCTCTCACCTGCGTGTCCCCCTCTCACCTGCCTGACCTCACCTGCCTGACCTCACCTGCCTGACCTCACCTGCGTGCCCCTCTCACCTGCGACTGTCTCACCGGTGTGGCGCGCCCAGCCGCGTGGAGTTCCGCCGCGTCCATCGCTCCGAGCTCTGAGCTCTGCTTGGGTCTCTCTCACCTCTCACCTGTGCCGCCTTTCCCCGGCGCGGCTCGCGACTGTTGGATCTCACGCTAGCGTGGATTGTGTAGCAGAGTTTGGTGGACATCGTCTGGCGTGGAGCGGCACGTATGTCTGTACGTTGCACTTCTTTTGCACCGTACGTAGCTGACCGTGCTACTCGGAGGTGTGGGGGAAGGACAACGAACTCAACACAAAGCGCAGTTACTTGTTCACGCATCTGTACACTCTGACCCACACCTGCATCAACACTCACACAGGCACGGTGGAGCGTAGGTGTCAATCGCACCTCATGGTGCGGAGGAGAATATTGTCAGCGTGTGGCGGTGTCTTGTGGTCCGTGCAAGGTGGTGCGGTTTGGCGCTGTGTGTTGTCTCGTGGGGTGTTGTGTCAAGGTGACAGACCACCCCACGGCACAGCGTGGCACCTCACACCATCATGGACCACACCACGACAAGCTGTGACACCGCACTAGGACACTGAGACACACCACACGGTAACATTCTTAGCCGACAATATGCCGCAAAGCATTTCAGAGATTTTTCTGAAAGGTAAAAATAGCAAATACCTCAATAACTATTTTACCCCCTATGACATTTCCAGCTGGGTGTTGCCACTGCATTGATGCGCCACGATGTCACGGTGTGGCGTGTTGGGGGTGGTGTGGCGATGACACGGTATGATGTAACGCGTCGTGTCACGGTGCGATGTGTCATGGTGCGGTACGTGCGGCGTCGTGTCATCATGTCGTGGTGTGAGACCTCGCGGTGTGCCACGGTCTCGTGCCGGGAGCAGGCCGGTGCCGCTGGCGTACGACGTGGTGGTGGCGGCGGCCAGCGGGGAGGGAGCCGCCCGGCCGCCCGTCGTCTTCCTGCACGGCCTCTTCGGGAGCCGGGCCAACTTCACGTCGCTGTCTCGCGCACTCGCCCAGCGCACGGGCCGCACGGTGCGCGCGCACGGTGCACACGCACACACTCACGCGCACGGAAGCGGACGCACGCACTCGCACGCACGCACTCGCAAAGATCCCCCCTACAACCTTAACAGACTGTTGGGGCGAGTGCCGTTAGCGAGTAGGAACTATGAAGTGCAACACGACGCACGAGGGGGCGCGTGACCAACGCCACGTTCCAGCCGCATTTTTCTCCCCAGTGCTGGTACTCACTTAATGCCGAGTCGGCATTAGGGGAGGCCCAGGACCCGCGTCAAACATTCGTCACCGGTGTTGGCCGTGAGCGAGAATCGAACCCGGGTGGCTAGCGTCGTAGCGCAGTGCGCTGAGCACCGCACCACCGCTCCCCGCGCTGACACGTGCGCGCGTACATACACACACGTGCGCGCGTACATACACACACGTGCGCGCGTACATACACACACGTGCGCGTACACGCGCGAAGCTCTCCTTTAAAAGCGAATTGGGACCCAACACGGCAAATGCAGGACTCCCTCCTCAAACGTTTTTGAGAGTCTTGTGGAGTTATATTTGTGGACCGGTAACCCCCTGCCTGTGCCTTGCGCAACGTCTCCCGTGTCCGCCACGCTCCTGCCGCACCCGCCACGACCACCCTGATCTGTGCCGCCGCCGCCGTCGCATCTCGACTCGACCGCCGTCGCCGTGACCCCCGCTTCCTCCTCCTCCAATCCGGCGCCTGCCGGTTTTAAACGACGCCGCACACCGCGACCGCATCAGCGGTCCAAGCCGTAGCGCCTCCAATCTAATCCTCGATGCGAAACGTCGTTTTCAAATTGTAAATGTTGTGGATTTACTCTCCAACCCATCGGCGGGCTGAAGTCGCAACTAATTGGCACCATTTGTTGTCGTGACAAATCTTACTAATTAGCTGTGTCAGGTGGTGGTGGGTTAACGACACATTTATATTTACGCGATCTCACCGAACGAAACAAAACCTATATCGTGGATGATATTGGCCGCGAGAGCCTCCGTGTTCATCATGAGTTTAGTTTAGTGTCTGTGTGTCTCTCACCCTCGCTGTGTATCTCACTGTGTGTGTTTATATTTGCGCGTGTCTATTATGTCTACGTGTGTCTCTGACCCCAGCGGTGTCCGTCTCGTCGCTGCTGCGTTGCCCCGTGTCTCTTCCAAGTCGACGCGTCCGTCTCTTTGCGCCCCTATCAGATGGTAACGGTGGATGCTCGTAACCACGGAGACAGCGCCCACGCCCCCACCATGAGCTACACGGAGCAGAGTCTGGATGTGCGAGCGCTGCTCACGGGGGAGGGGGGCCCCCCGGTGAGGGTGGGGGCGACCGGGGGGGGACGGGGAGCCGGGGGGGACCAGCGGGAGGCGTCGGGGCCCCTCCCCCCGCTGGGCCCCGCGGTCCTCGTGGGGCACTCCATGGGGGGCAAGGTCGCCATGGCAACAGCGCTGCAATGGGTGGGTGGATGCTGTCTCTCTCGCACAGACAAAGATCCCCCGTGTAGCCTTAACAGACTGTTGGGGCAAGTGCTGTTAGCGAGTAGCTCCTATTGAAGGCCGGCACTGCACACGAGGGGGTGGGTGGCCAGCACCACGCCCGAGTGGCGATGTTTAGACTCCCCAACACCACTTGTCACTGCTGCTGTTGGTGGCCGTGAATGGGAATAAAATTCGAGTCGTCGAGTTCGGAGCGCAGCGCGATAACTGCTGCGCCACCGCTCCCCATACCTTGCCTTAACCCTTTCCCATTGCCATGACGTACACGTACGTCATCAGAACGGAACGTGAAGAAAAAATTTACTTTTTATCAGCACCGAGGCTCCCTCAAGGCCATGCCGGAGGGCGTGTGGCACAGTTTGGAGCCGGCTAGCGCGGCGTGGCGGTCATGTCGCTACGGTTCTTTGCGGTGAGTGCAGTGGCTTTAAAAACAATGGCCCTGCTACGCCTGCCTCAATGAAATTGACGCTAACCGCTTGCGCGTTCCCACACTCAGCGGTGAGCGAGACTCGGACCCTGCAACTTGCAGATGTGTCGGAACGGGAAATGGTTAATAGGCACTCGCTCACTCACACGCGTGTAACATACGTACGTCCCTATGTCTGTGCGTGCGTGCGCGCGTCCGCAGCCGGAGCTGGTGGCGGGCCTGGTGGTGCTGGACGTGGCTCCGGGCCTCACGCGAGGGTTCACTCCGTTCCGGGACTTCATCGGCGCTATGGAGCGCGTGTCGTTCGCAGGGGCGCAGGGCACGCGCTCGCAGGCGCGCACCCTCGTGGACTCGCAGCTCGCCCCGCGCATACCCGTACGTGCCTACGTATAGAGACTAAGATCGCCCCTATAGCCTTTGGCAGACCGTTGGGAAAAGTGCTGTTAGCGAGCAGCACTTATTCAGGCTGGCACGGCACGCGAGGGCAGCGCCGCGCTCGGTCACCTTTGCCTCCCCAGTGCTGATCTTTACACACCGCACCGGGTACTCATTTAAGGCTGAGTAGACCTAGGGGAGGCCCACGACCGATTGCAACGGCGCCCTGTGCGGCGGTTGCACGCGGTACTGCACCTCCAGTGCCAGCCCTGACGCAGAGAATAACGACGATGACGATTGTGATGATGTTGATGATAATAAACGATAATGATGAAGACGACGATGACGACGTTGGTGTAGGACTCAACCATCCGCCAATTCCTTCTCACCAACGTGACGGAGCGGTGGGCCGCTGACGGTGGCGCGCGGTTTGGCTGGCGCGTGAACCTGGAGGCCATCGTGCGACACATCGACTGCCTCTTTGATTTCCCGCGGCCGGCCGAGGGAGCCTCCTACTCGGGGCCCACGCTCTTCATCGGCGGCGGCGATTCTCCCTACATCAGGTGACGCCCGAAGAACACGTTGCAAATTGTACACTCAAAAATCTCAGCTGTTCAACTAAACTCTGGTTTTTTACCAGGTAAAGCCCACTGAGCGATGTAGCTCTCTTGTCAGAAGTGACCTGGCTAGCACAAACGGTAGCCCAATGAAGTGGCTCATCATCATGTGCACATTTATAGCGGCAGCCAAACTCTCTAAACGCGTGCTGGTGTCGATTCTAAATTTGGAGGGGAGAACCGAAGAACCCGGAGAAAAATCCATGCGACCACCTCGGGGAGAGAGAGAGAGAGACACGCAGACTCCAAATATACAGCAGCAGCAGGCGTCGGGGTCGGGATGGAACCCACGACCTCCTGTACACCAGGCGAGGTAGTTAACATCTCCTAGCCACCGTGATGAAGATGAGAGAGAGAGAGACACGCAAACTCCAAATATACAGCAGCAGCAGCAGGTGTCAGGGTCGGGATGGAACCCACGACCTCCTGTACACCAGGCGAGGTAGTCAACATCTCCTAGCCACCGTGGCGTCCCAACGAGGTCGCTGCAATCCGGTCGTGATACGGGCACCAGATTTCAATGACGCGACGGGCGTCACGCACGGAGGCACTCGCAAAGATGCTATTTATAAGTTCATAAGGGGACAATGTCTTTATGTGTAATGTAAAACAACAGTTAATATGAGAATTAATGGGTTCATAAATGAGACTGTATTCTTGTGTAACGTAATACAGCAGTTAATACGTGAAGGAATGATGGAATGAACGAGATAGTTAATTTCAATGGGCTTCTGGTTACATCTAAAGATGACGGATGAGTGCATGAGTTAAGTATTGAGATGATTTTTCCTCATACGGTATAAATCTTGCCGACGGGATGATTATCGCGATGTCAGCTTCCCACGCCGTTGTGACCGTATTTCATGGCTGTATTGTTTTGTGCTTTTGCGTACTCCCGGTGTGAATAGAATCACTCAAAAGTTCTTCAACTGCGGTTCACTCAACACGAACCAGCGATTTGTCTTCTCATCGTCACAACCTTACATTCTGATAACAGACCCCTCTCCCTCTGTCCCTTTTTCTCCCCGTATGCTGACTTCCCCTGTCCTTGTCCCTCCCATGTCCACCGGTCTTCCACGTCTCGTCTGTGCCCCCTTGTCTTGGCCGGTCTCCTGTCTTCCCCTGTCCTCCTCTCCCATGCCCGCCCCCCGTATCTCCCTGTTGCTCTCCCCGCACTCTCTCCCCGCACTCTCTCCCCGTGTCTTCCCCATCCCTCTCGCCCCGTGTCTCCCCGTGTCTTCCCATTTCCCTGTGTCTCACCGTCTCTCCCCGGTCTCCCCGTGTCTCCCCGTGTCTCCCGTGTCTCTCCGTGTCCCCCGTGTCCCCCCGTGTCTTCCCGTCTGTCCCCCCCCGTGTCTCCCCGTGTCCCCCGTGTCCCCCTGTGTCTTCCCCGCCCCCCCCCCCCCCCCCCCGTGTCTCCGTAGCCCCGAGGACCTGCCTGTGATTGCGCGCTTGTTCCCGGGGGCGCGAGTGTCCCACATCCCCGGGGCCGGCCACTGGGTCCACGCGGAGCGCCCGGCGCAGGTGGTGGCGGCCCTCGCCGCCTTCCTGCAGCCCAGCCGCCTCTCCCTGTGGGGGTGACACGGACACAGGTCCCCCAGGTAGCCTGCGCTATGCACGCACAGCGACACACGCACACAGCGTGGCGCGCATACACACACGGTGATACGCACGGCAGTGAGATTGTGGCAATGCAACCCACACTATGGACTGCACAGTAAAGGCATAGAGACTAATAGAGATACATAGATAAATAGAGATACATACATAAATAGAGATACATAGAGACCCATAGAGATGCATAGAGACCCATAGAGATACATAGATAAATAGAGATACAAAGAGACACCCATAGAGATACATAGAGACCCATAGAGATACATAGAGACCCATAGAGATACACAGAGACCCATAGAGATACACAGAGACCCATAGAGATACATAGAGATATGCAGAGATACATTATGTAGACAAGCCACAGCAGTGCGACTGTGGCCATGGCACCCACATGAGGGATCGCCACGGTAACTCCACTGCGCTCTGCGATCCATCAACAGCAGCTGACGCAGCAGGAACAGCAGCAGGAGGAGGGGGAACAGCAGCAGCAGGAGGAGACGAACTCTCTCCCTGCTCAAGGCCTCTCGTCGTGACAGCAGCAGCAGCAGCAGCAGCAGAACTCCACGTTGTCACTGAGCTCCTGAACCACACCGCTGCTCCTGTCATCCGCGAGAGTAAAATAGAAATGCGTTTCAGGCCACCATGTATAGACGCTCAGTTATTGGGTGAAAACATCTTAATGTAGAGAGCACTGCAGAGCTCAGGCAACCGTTGGTGCTGCTGCTGCTGCCTTCCAGCTCGGTGGCTCCTCAGCGATCGTGGTGAGTCGTACCATTTGCATGAACGACGATGATTCTGGTGAAGATAATACTTCAACATCGTCAGCCTCTTGGCTCTCCAGACCAACGGCAACATCTCGGCACAGTCGGGCCGACGAGACAGCGAAGATCAAAACCGGTGCCGAATTTTGCTCGGTTGAACAAATGCTGCTGGATGATGTTGGTCTGGAAAGCCAATGATTGGCAGATTAACTGAACATTTCCGTTCAGCTAAAAGTGATTTGAATCTAGCTAAAAACAGCCGAATGCTGTGAGATTTGCTGCGAATGACTTTTATATCTTCTTATCGCTCAGGCCCACTGACCTGTGTAGCTCTTGTTCAGAAGTGGCCTGGCCACAAATGACAGCTCAACGAAGTGGCTTATTGCGTGGAAATCTATAGCAGTAGCCAAATACTCTAAACGCACTTTGATTCTGAATGTCGAGGGTAAACCCGTAGGACCCGGAGAAAAATCCACACGACCACGGGGAGAGAGAGAGACACGCAAACTCTAAATATACAGCAGCAGCAGCAGCAGGCGTCAGGGTCGGGGTCGAACCCGCGACCCCCTGCACACCAGGCGAGGTAGTAAACATCCCGGCACTGCGGCTATCGCACGGAGCAGCATCATCACCCCCCTACTACGAAAACATGGCAGGACCCTCCTGAAAGGAGTCTTGAGACTCGGTGAGGCTTGCTTCCGGGGTAAACGAGCGGAAACAACGACAGTGAAACGTCTTGTGTGGAGAGTGGCGTTGTGCTGGTATATCGTTCCTTTACTCATCGCTGTATCGCTGACCGATCGTTTTATTGAATTCTCGACCGGGTATTTGACCGATGTTGGGGGGGGGGGGGGACGCAAGCCGGTACATCGAGCACCTCTGAGCTAAGGCTTGGTGGATCAAGCTGGGATGCCTGGCAGGCAGGAGATGGCAGCACAGCAATGGATTCTTGATTCCATCTGTGCGAAGCTTTGTCCCCTCTGATTTTGAGGGTTTTCTCCCGGATGCTGGCGTTCCTCCCACGCGCCACACTCCCATCAATCGGCTCGGCCAAACATCCCAATGCAGGACCCTCCTCTCCTGGTTGAACAGTTTAGGTATGTATTGTGGAATGTAAAAATTAGTCTTACTTTATTACGTCGACTTCAATATGAACTAAACTACAAACTATTGTATCTATGGGATCCTTTGCTGGTACATTATCAAGACATTGAATGATTCATTCAATATGAGCCCTGTTTTATTTAGGCAAGTAAAGGCCGCTGCGCTGCTCAGAGGCAAGCTGGACACAGGTGATGGGAGCTCATCAACATCGTCGCACGTGGGGGGAGTTCGTAGCAGTGGCCAAATTATCTGACTGCGTGTTGGTTCTAGATGTGGAGGAGGAACCCAGAGACCGATCGACGCTATGACCACCACGGGGAGAGAGATCACGCGGACTCCGAATATACAACTACAGCAGCAGCAGGCACCACCAGGGTCCGGCATGGAACTCACGGGCTCCTTCCTGTGCTACCAGGCGAGGGGGGTAACACCTCGCCTGGAGATTGTTGTGGGATGTTTCACTCTCGCTTTGCACGTGGGAGGAGGACACCAGAGTACGTGTGTATGTAGGGCACCACAAGATGTTCACTACCTCGCCTGGTATACAGGAGGTCGTGGGTTCCATCCCGACCTTGACGCCTGCTGCTGTATATTTGGAGTTTGCATGTTCTCTCTCTCTCCGCGTGGTCGCGGGGATTTTTCTCCGGTTATTCCCTCCACATTTAGAATGATGCATTTAGAGTATTTGGCTGCTATAAATGTCCACGTGATGATGAGCCGCTTCGTTGAGCGATCATTTGTGGCCAGGTCGCTTCTGAAAAAGACCGAGACAGCTCAGTGGACCTTGCCTGGTGAAATGTAAATAGTTTACGTTGAAACTCTTTCGCACCGTATTTATTCAACCGTGCTAATCGGAGGTGCGGGGAAAGACAACAAACCAAACGAGAGTTAGAGTAAGGGAACGTGACCTCTCGTCAAAAAATCCACACGCACAGGCCAGCAGACCGCTTCGTGTGCTGCCTCTGATGGGCATCCCTACGATCTCTGCGTGATCCACCAAGCGGGACATTGTTTAATTCCTCTTTGCTGATTACGCACAACGTAAGCAAGCGCGGCTTTGGGACGTTACTGAAGCCTCGCTCCTACGAACGAGAGCAGCTCTTATCTTGTAGTTTACAAATCGTCAGCGGTGTTGGCCGTGAGCGGCAATAGAACTCTGGTAGCCGGGTTCGTAGCGCAGCGTGGCGCTACCCGCTACACTACTGCTCCCCAACGCAGCTCAACACATCCGTCAATAACACGGCGGGACTTGACAGGGAGAACATTCAAATAATAATAGTCGATGTTTCCGGGCAATGGCAGCACAATGGCCCATGTGCTCTGAAGAAGGGCCTTTGCCTGAAACGTCGACTATTATTGTTAGGCCACGCACGGTGTTGGCTGTCCGTGCCACGGCACGTGCCGAGTGGCGGCGGCAGGAGCAGTGGAAGATCCCTGGGAGCGATGTCACCTTGGCCGAGCACACGGCCTCGTGACAGGCATCTACGCGATGGGAGCCGCTCATCTTTCCTGATTCTCTGTAATATTCAAGACGGTGAAAGTTGGGGGTGGGGGGCGGGAGAGTACAGTATTAATATAAATAAATGATTTACAATGTCTTAAGGATGACATCGTGGTGTACTTATAAATATAACTTGGAAAGTGATCCATTGCTTCTGTGCTGTTCAAATTTTTTTTCTGTATTTTATTTATGGTGAGATGTTAACTACCTCGCCTAGTACACAGGAGGTCGTGGGTTCGATCCGGACCCCGATGCCTGCTGTATATTTGGAGTTTGCACGTCTGTATGTTAAACTTCTTTTGCACAGTACAAGGACAAGCGTGCCAATCGCAGGTGCGGAGGAAGGACAACAAACTAAACACCAAGAGCAGTTAGAGACATCACTTTGTCAATCTCGATGATGATGATGTAAAAGTGCGCAGCTCCAGTGGCTTCCTAATATCCGAAGGAAGAGCGTTCCAGACGGCCGCAGGAGCGCGTCTGAGAGCGCCGCGTGACGATGCGGTGACCACCGCCGCCGCCTCTGTTGGATGGGTAGCCACAAGCTGCAGCTGCTGCTGGTGGTGGTGGGTGGTGGTGGTGGGTGTGGGTGGTGGGTAGTGGTGGTGGGTGGTGTGGTGGTGGTGGGTGGTGGGTGGTGGTGGGTGGTGTGGTGGTGGGTGGTGGTTGTGGGTGGTCGGTGGGTGGTGGTGGTGGTGTGGTGGTGGGTGGTGGTGTGGTGGTGTGGTGGTGGGTGGTGGTGTGGTGGGTGGGTGGTTGTGGGTGGTGGTTGTGGTGGTGGTGGGTGGATGGTGGTGGTGGTGGGTGGTTTTCACCACTCGCTGTGTATTTGTCAGGAGCTGCATCAGAGGTGCCCCGCCGCTGGACGCTGCAGCGCCTCGTTCGGGGCTCGCGAGGCGGCCGCCAGGCGGCGCACGCGGCCCGCGGCGACCACGAAGCTGTGGCCACGGCACGTGGCGGTGGTGGTGGTGGTAGCGGTGCTGCTGCTGATGATGATGAGGCGCAATTATCGCTGCCATTAACGCGGCTTGAGAGGGCGCGGAGTGTAATTGGTGTTTGCCGAGAGGGGCGCGCGGTCGTTAATCAGCGTGGCAATGGGGCGGGGAGAGAGGGGGGGGGGGGAGAGTGAATGGGGAGAGGGGGGGGGTGAATGGAGAGAGCAAGCGGGGTTAGAGGGGGGGGGGAGATGGGGGTGGGTGAATGGGGGAGAGAGGGGGGGGAAGAGCGGGGAGAGTGAATGGTGGTGGGTGGCCAGCACCACGCCCGGCCGCCTTTGTCTCCCCTGTGGCGATGTCTACACATCGCACCAGGTACTCATTTGAGGCTGAGTCGACCTAGGGGAGGCCCAGGACCGGTTCAGATAATCGACACTGGTGTTGGCCGTGGGTGGGAATCGAACTCGGGTCGCCAGGTTCGTAGCGCAGCGTAGCGCTAACCACTACACCACCGCTCCCCACGGTGCAAAATAAGTTCAATGTACACACACACGTACACACACACGTACACACAACAACCGCCATTCGCCACTAAGTGGCGGTGACGTCACCACGACGCTTGTGCCAGGCTATGTGCACCTTGAGGTCACGTGAAGTGTCGAACGCCCGCTGGCAGGAGGTCACGGGGCAGTCCCAGGTGCCACGGGTCGACTGACTGAGACGACTGGCTGATGCACCACCTGTGCCCCCTACTGTGCCAACTTGCTGCGCTTTAGCCACCCGGCGCTCCGCTCGTTGTTGTGAGCGTCGCTCCTCCGCCCTCCGTTGTTGTTGGAGGGCGACTGCCTCCAACTGCCCAGTAGCGTCCTTCACGAGCCTCCTCCACAGAGGCCGATCTTGACACCGCTGGTACCAGTCATCGGCAAGTCCACTCAGCTCCACGTCCTCCTGTACCACATCACTCCATCTCTTCTCTAGCCCGTGCCGCGCCCGTTTAGCCCCCTCGATCTGGCCGAACAAAAGCTGTTTCGACATGCGGTGGCTGGGCATGCGGGCTACATGGCCCAGCCAATGCAGCCTTGCCTGCCGGAGGAGCTCACCGATGGGACTTTGTCCAGATCTTTCAAGGATTTGTGAGCTCCTCACACAATCCAGCCTGTAGGTTAAACCCAGGATTGATCGTAGGCAGGCCAGCCTAAATGTTTCTAACCGGCGAAGATGTTCCATTAGTGGGGTCTACGTTTCGCAAGCGTAGAGAAGGGAGGGAATGACTGTGGCCGAGAAGACCTGAAGCTTCGTGCGGAGCGACAGACCAGGTAGCTTCCACACAGCCTTACGTAACCGATGAAAAGATATTGCCGCTCGACTGATTCGGAGTGAGACCTCTGCTGTTAAACCGGAGCCGGTCATGAGCATACTGCCCAGGTATGGGAAACTCTCCACTCTCTCCACTACTGCCCCATCACCAATTGGGAGTTGTGGGGGTGGAGTGTCCGATGGTACAGAATACCCAGGCAGGTGCTGAGTTTTGGCAGGAGCACAGACACGCACGCGGTGCGCACCAAATATCGCGACTCGCTGAGCCCCGTGCCCCGATTGGACATCTGTGAACAAAGAGCTTCATTGCTCATCGGATTCCTCATCCTCCTGCTGCTGCTGCAGCAGTCTAGAGATCGATTGTAATTGTGAGATAGAAGCCGACCGTGAATGCGGTGACCACTGCAAGGCGTCCACAGCGCGTCAGGGTTGCACTGCGAGTATTATCAAGTGCAGCGAAGAAGGGCCATTGCCCGAAACGTCGCCTATTTATATTTTAGTTTCCTCCTAAGGCCACACACAGTGTGATTGATGATGATGATGATGCTGATAAAAAGAATGCATCAGCGTGGTGATGTCAACTTGTGACACTGTGCCACAGTCCGAGATTATCCGTTCGCTTTCATCGAGAGAGAGGACGACTCGGAGAGAGGACGACTCAGAGAGAGGACGACTCATAGAGAGAGATGACGACTCGGAGAGAGAGGACGACTCATAGAGAGGACAACTCAGGAAGGACGACTCAGAGAGAGAGGACGACTCATAGAGAGGACGACTCATAGAGAGGACGACTCATAGAGAGAGGACGACTCATAGAGAGAGGACAACTCAGGAAGGACGACTCAGAGAGAGAGAACGACTCGAAGGTCTTCGACCCCCATATAGCGGAGGGCGGGGAAGAGGGGGGGGGGGGTAGAGGGGGGGGTAGAGGGAGGGTGAGAGGGGGGGTGAGCGGGGAGGGGCGGTCTCCTGTAAACACGCAGTGGCTGCCTCCATACAGCACGCGGCGCTGTCTCTCCGGCCTTGTCACTCGCTGGGTGTGTGTCTCTGTGTGTGTGTGTCTGTGTGTGTGTCTGTGTGTGTGTGTCTGTGTGTGTGTGTGTGTGTCTCTCTGTGTGTGTGTGTCTGTGTGTGTCTGTGTGTGTGTGTCTGTGTGTATCTCTCTGTGTGTGTGTCTCTGTGTGTGTCTGTGTGTGTGTCTCTGTATGTGTCTGTGTGTGTGTGTGTCTGTGTGTGTGTGTGTCTGTGTGTGTGTGTCTCTGTGTGTGTCTGTGTGTGTGTGTCTGTGTGTCTCTGTGTGTCTGTGTGTGTGTGTGTCTATCTGTGTGTGTATCTCTGTGTGTGTGTCTGTGTGTATCTGTGTGTGTGTCTGTGTGTGTATCTCTGTGTGTGTGTCTGTGTGTATTTCTATGTGTGTCTCTGTGTGTGTCTGTGTGTGTCTCTCTGTGTGTGTGTCTGTGTGTGTGTGTGTCTGTGTGTATATCTGTGTGTATCTCTGTGTGTATCTCTGTGTGTGTCTCTCTGTGATGATCATCAGATTTTCATGATTATAATCTTATCAATGTAATTATCTCATAAATATGATCACATTTATTTGATCATCAATAACATCATCATCAGATTTCCATGATCATTATCTCATCATCATCATCGTCACCTCTCCAGATGTCGACCAAACGAGGACGTACGTGGTTGCTCTATGGATGGGAACTGCCTTCCGCCATGGGAATGTGGAATTTCCACCACCAGGCTCGGGGCCACCAACCCAATGTCACGGTGCTGCTGCCGCGGTGCAAGTGGTTCGTAGCGCAGGGGACTTGCAACGCAGAGGTGGCGAGTTCGATCTCCCGGGGAGGCAGCTGCCGACACATTTGGGACCCCCCCCCACCCCCCATCATCTCTGTGCTCCGCCCCCACCAGAATCCACTGCACGTGTCGTGGCTCATTGTATGTCGCCACACGTGCGTACAGCACAGGTCGCGTGTTGGTGGGGTACAGTGTGGGGGGGGGGGGGCTATCTAGAGGGGCTCTCCAGAGCTCCCTCTGCAGGAGGCTCTTGTACCAGCGGAGAGGGTGAGCAGGCAATTGCTGTGCTGTGTCTTTGCCTTGAGAGTGTGGCAAGAGGGGGGGAGGGGCGGGAGGGGAGAGAGTGTGTTGGAGAGGGGGGGGGGGTGTGGAGAGAGAGGGGGGGTAGAGAGTGTGGAGAGCGTGGAGAGAGGGGGAGATAGTGTGGAGAGAGATAGGGGCGGGAGGGTGTACGGGAGATAGGGGAGGCAGGAGAGAGGGGGGGTACACATGAGAGACATAGAGAGAGAGTGGGGAGAGAGAGGGGGAGAGGGGGAGAGAGGGAGAGGAGGGGAGAGAGAGTGGGGGGAGAGAGAGTGGGGAGAGAGTGGGAGAGTGAGAGGGGACAGTTTGTGTGTTAGACACTCGGCGAGATTCCTCTGATCGGGGCCCTGTTACCCGCCACTCCAATAATCCGCGAAAACTCTCCTTATCCGCGAATCTATCCCCGTCAGCGCGTTACCCCGATCTCCCCTGGGCGCCAAATCCACTCAAGGACCGGGAGAGAGACGCGGCCCTTGCCAATAACATCTGGCAGTTCAACAGCATCGATTGCAGCGAGGCTGGCTCTGCTGATGAGACACTGTGCGTCGAAGCCGGCGCAGGGTTCATACTCTTAGTTCTTTCGGTAAAGTCACGTGGGTAAAAAATGAAATTAAAGTTAATAAAAATAAAATAAAAATCACGACGTTTCTGAGGCAACACAAGTCTCCGTCATCAGGTGGGACCGTCA